TCTTCCTCTCCAACACAATCATTAGCAAGAACTCTGGATACCTTATAAGTATCCAGTCCATTCCACACATTTTCATTCTCAACACAGACCAGATACTGGTATGTCTTACCAGTCAGATGTCTGATCGCATCAGGTAGGTTCTCTGGGTCCTCAAACTCATCGAAAGATCCATCAAGGAGACTGTTTGCTGGACAGCCAACAATCTCAGAAGCCATACTATCAAAAAGCATCAGCTTCATCTCACCAGTTGAATCCATTACTTTAACATGTAGCTTGTACCTGTTGAGTTCATCGTTACACTTAGACATTTCAGTAACAAATAAATCATTAATATATCATTAGATTATGAACCATACCTTGCAACCACATTGCACACAGGTGATCGGCAAGAGTCACACCAGAAGTGTGGCTTGAGAGAAGTTGTGACAACCTTAGACACTTTCTTATTGCACTTCCTACAGGCAATATAATACCACGACCCAATCTCTGTCAATATCATATATTGTACAGAGCACCTTAACCCTCCCAGTCTGAAAATAGGACCATTTAAAAGTTGGTTAGAATAAACTATGCAATCAAATTAGAATGTAAAAGAAAAAAAGAACTATTACATCAAACATCTCAGCGACTTCTTTGATGGTCTTCTTAGGAAACTGAAGATAGAAATCCCCTGTAGGCAGCTCGATCATTTCCTGCTTTGGCTTAGACTCAAGAAGAGTAAGAGCAAGCCCATCTTTGGTAAACTTTCTTTGAAGGCAACAATCTCAGGGATGTCTGGATTGATCAAGATCTGAGATGTATTGAAAGCATTGGAGATACTCCTTACATCTAGAAAGCAAAACATAAAGAAAGTGTCATCAGTTCAATTTTTAAAAGATTTAAAAAAACTATAGGTATGATATTAATACCAAAACAAATTACCTTTGTAAGTCTTGATCTTAGCATATCTCACCAAACATATGACCATTTCACCAGCAGAAGCTTCACAGGCAGTGAAAACTTGTTCTGCAAATGAACCCCATAGAGTACAGGGTAGCCTTTCATCCCTAAATATTTTAATAGCAATATTAGATAAAAAAATAAGACTCTTTAATTTTAATGCAGACAGAGCTAATGAATGAAACTTACATATGATCCCTCAGTTCAAAATCAATCTTCTTAGTTGGTTTATTTTGGACGTCGATAGTCTCCATTTCACCAACATTCACGATTTGACCAACAACATCTTCAACCAAAAGAGAATATCAAAACGTCATTATATATTGCATAAAGGATTAGATAAAAATGAAAATATAGGGAATATGAAAATGTACCAATCAAGTAGTTCTGGTTGAGACCACCAGTTTAAAACATCATTGAAAGGAGTCAATGACAGGTAATAAGAATCAGACAATGGGTCCATCCTCACACCTCTTGTTTGAGCCATGAAGCCCATTTTGTAACGATGATCAGTTGCTTTGAACTGACCAGTTGCATAAGTCAATCCAAAGTTTTCAATAGCCTTCCACTCTCCTGGAACCATGAGCTTCTCAAAACGGTTGAGATGCTCTCTCTTCACAGACGCATGGATCTTCTTGCCCTACCATAGAAATAGAAATATATTAGTATATCATTAGACAACTTATTTTAATATATTGAACTAATATAGACATGACAAAGAATTCTTACTTTGACATCAGACAGAACCATGTCGAAAGTCTCACCAAACTTTGTGGTAAATGTCTTCCAGGTATGAAGGACACGGACCTGAACTCTCCAAGTGGTTTTGTATGGTTTGATGTCATCGAGGTAAGCAATTGCTTGAGCCATTTGTGATATCTAAATAAGAAGATGCTAAGCTTAGAGGAATTTGAGTGATGGATTGAAATGAGAATGACGTTGATATTTATAGCATTCTAGGATGCTAGGGTTTTTGGCTCCAATAATTTTTAAATCTAGGAGAATATCTTGGAGACAAAGCATAAAATCAAAGATACTATTAACAAAATATATTCGAATTTGGAATAGAATTGAATGATTGGCTATATTTAGATAAATGATGAATATTGTAGAGTTGGTTATGGTTAGGATTATATTTATGAGAGATAGTAATTACGATTTTTTGGGATTAGGCAATATATGATCGAATTTTGCAGTTATTATGAGAGATAATTACATCGAATTTGCAGTTATTATGATCGAATATGCTCATATTTAGATACCAAAAATGAACTAAATTTACAAAATAATTTGAAACGGCTTAGATTGACTTATGTGGATGCTAAACCCGATTAAGAACTTGACTATGTGATTAAGAGTTAATTACTCCTAACCCACCCGAGTATTAACACGCGGATCTAAGAAAGTTTAATGAAACTTTATGACCAAATTGCCCTTGTCGATTTTGATTAACAAAGAACAAAATCCAAAATTGAAATTGAAATTGAGGCTAAATTTGACCATTTTCCAATTGGTACTTCACTTTTAATAATAAGGGGATAGAAATGTACTAAACAGTTTATAAATAGAACGTGACGCAGATAAGAGCTACCGTAAGATAAACGAAAAAAAAGAAATTGTTTTCAAAAGAAAAAGAAAATGACAAAATGGAATGTAATAATGGTAATATTGTTGGTGATGATTGCTGTGATAGGAGGAAGCAAAACAAACATAGAAAGACTTGGATAGGTTGCTTTCGGTATTGTTCTCGCACTTGCAGCAAGTACGATGGAAATTGCTTTGAACATTGTAAGATCAAATGTGGTGGTCCTACTCCTCCAAAAACTAATTCAAGGTAGAATTTTGTTTTTTCACTACTTCTTTATGTTAGAGTGGTACTTATTATCGTTAAAACGGACTAATCCGCTCCATCTAATCTTCTTCGCAATGTGGTAAAATATCATGATTGCGGGTTTGCCTGCCAATAGTGTGGGTTTAGCGGTTTAAAATCGTCCCTCGTGATAGACTAACTCTAAAGGCATAATCTGTTTTTAAACCTTTAAAACTTTAATTCTAACATGTTCCATGTCATGACATTTATAATTAACATGCAGGTTCTTGATTCGAATTAACACCCTTGCTTGTCACACTTTATGTCTTGAATTTCGTAAATAAAAAGTGAAATTTTGTTTTATTTTAAATTTCAAATATATATTGTATACATGATTAGGAATTTATATGGGAGGAATTATACGTACAATGAAGAAACGGAGGTTCAAGGAAAGAGACATTGATAAAACGGAACTCATGTAGAGACGACAATCATATCACTATTTACTAAACCACTAGCTAGTGTTCTTTAGTTTATGTGTTGTTTCGCGGAAGTTCAAAAAAGACCATTCAATGATTCAAACATAGAGGCTTGCTTTCCATAAACAATATTATTTCTTATCAAAAACAATGTATAAAATAATATATGCATTAAGACCATACATATATATTGGTCAAAGTGCCAAAAAGAAAATGTTATCGTTTAACATGTGTTTCAATAATACTTTATCTTTTCAAAGATCACTTTTGTCTTTATGCATTAGTTGTACTCTTGTAGCAAGAGATATCTTCATGGGCGATCTGTTGATAGATAAATCCTTTGTCACATATTCTTAGCTTCAAAAGACTTTGAAACTCAGCTCCTCTGTATTCATTATTGGTTCCTCCATCGGAACCGTTCCCCTTCAATCTAAGCTCTCAAGAGTCTATCGCCGAGGTCAACGGAATCTCCATGCAACAAAATTTCCATAACTGAATTACTCAATTACATAAGGATTAAACAATTTACAAATCAAAAACAGATGAGAAACAAAGCCATGGACAAAAGTGGAAGAGGCTTGAGACTTTGTTCCAGAGTTGATAACTTTATTCACTTCAAAATCACCCACATAAACAGAGAAACATAAATAACAGAGAGATAATCTCCAAATGTAATGGGTTTGGGATTGGAGTGTATGGGCTTAACGCAGGCCTGAACTAAATTCAAGGCCCAAGCCTAATTGCCCAACCGTCTTTTTTTTTTTTTTCCTCAAATTGCCCAACCGTCTCTGTACTTCTTCAGAAGAAAGATGAAAAATATTTCAAGTAGTAGAATTTATGATTAGATCTTTTGTACCCAGGGTTTGAAATTGCTGGAGTTGAACGATAGTGATGCTAACATTCGAAAAAACCCGTATCAATGGCCCGATGCCCATTGATGGATATGACACTTCGCTTCATGCATTGAGAAAACATTTCTCTTCATGCGGAAAGATCAAACATATTTATGTTCCAAGAGACTTTGAAAGTGGTACCCTCAAGACTCTTAGGATTGCCTTCATTAGGATTGAGGCAGAAAATGCCAATGAAAAGGCATTGGAACTTAGTGGAACTGACGTGAGAGGATGGACTGCAATCTTTAAGGCTGCACCGTGGCAGAAAGAAACCATGGATCCTTGGTGTGCTGCTGCTGCTGAGAGAAGAACCAAAGAACACAGTATAAACATTACGGGATATGACCCTTGGCTTCCTCGGATTGATATCGAGTTGGCAGTGTGTAAAAATATCTTTCTACATGTGGAGAGGTCACGCGAGTTGTGGTTCTCCCTAGCTGTGCTCACATTTCCACCAATATTACTGGCTATATGCTTCCAGGAAGCCGCACCAATATTACTGACTTTATGACCCGATGTACACAAAATTGCTCTTGCTTTCTTGATTCTTGATTCTTGGCAACAAATTAAAATTAGTTTCCTTGTTTGAACTATATATTAGGTCTTAAGAAGAAAATGGAGATGGCTCTCTCTTAGGAGAAGACGAACCTCTTTTGGTGTTTTTAACTGCGATACAATACAAAAAGTCCTACCGATTTGGAAGCAATGGACTAGATTTATCAGCTAGTCGAGCAAAATGTGAAGAACAAAGCTACCTCCTTTAGGGATCAAAACCAACTCTTTAGCTTCGGACTTACTCTAGTTCTTGATTCTGCACCTGTACACTCCTCCTATTCAGCTGCTTCCACCTCTTGGATTTCACCTAAAAACTATCTCTTTTACTATCCTAGCTATTTACTCTAGAATCTAATTCAGTTTGGTTTCTGTCTTTATATGAAAAAACCGTCTAACAAAAATACATAAATCATAATCCAGCCTAGGAGAAGGCAACACACACATTGAAACAACTATAGATTATATCCAAATTTGTAGTCAGGAACTACACCTAAACACAAATTCCCAAATCTGAATTACATATGTTTGTTTTAAAGACTAGCCATAAGGATCAAACAATTTTGCAAATCAAAAACACACGAGAAACAAAGCCAACAACAAAAGTGGAAGAAGCTGTTGTATGTTACCAGATAAAGCTCGAGACTTGGTTCCAAAATTGATAACTTTATTCTCTACAAAAACACCCACAGAGAAACAGAGCAAAAACATAAATAAACAGAGAGATAATCTCCATTAATGAAAGTTATAGAACTAGCTCAAGACTTAACTGCATTCTTTAGGATGACAAAGACATCTTAGAGCAACACCACAGTTACCATCTGGTCTCTCACAAGCGATACATAAATCTGGTATGTGACCTTCGACTTCCATAGAAACCCTAGCTCTTAATTTCACTTCCTCTGTTCTAGAGACATGGAAGATACCAGTTGAAGTTTTGAAGTAGAGTTTTCCAGATCTGCAGGTTATGAGATTAGATGGGTTTGAGATTGGAGTTTTACCACAGTAGTAGATTTCTTCTTGTGGGTTTTGTGTGGAAGGTGAGAAAATTAGAAAGAAGATGAGAAGAAGAAGGAGGATCTTGCTGGGAATTTCTTGCATTTCTGTTTCTTTCTGCTTTGTTGCTTTGCACAGTAATTTACAATGAGAGTGATTTTTGGTAATCCAACCAAACAAAAGTTACATATAAAGTCACATATGTACAAGTTCTTAAGACTATTTTTCTCCAAAAGAATTTCATTTTTTACTCCAAAAAATAAAAGTAACAAAGAGTATTATTTCGTATATGAAGTTTTAACGTTCATCTTTCTATTTTAGAATCAACGTTTATTTTATTCTAAATTTTAGATCTAAAAGAATTTCGAAACAAGTTATGGAATTAGGTTGGTTACCATATTTTGTAACTTTTTAATAAGTTTCATGAATATTTTATATAAAAATAAGCTGTGTGATATTATAAAATTATCCTGCAAAATGTATTACAAATTTTTTTTAGTTAAGTTATAAAATTAAATAATATAAAGGAAAAAAATTTAACCTTCTAATACCAATTCATATAATTCTAACTGTCTTACTAAAATAATTTTAACTTAACTAATATATTTTTAAGTTTTAAATTCAAACATATAAGATTTATATATAGTTGGTTTAATTAAAAGATTCAACAAAATATTTTTACACAAAATTAGAAAAGAAACTAATTACGTTTTTAAAAATAATATTTATGATTAACTCGTGTATCTGATTGGTTACGAATAAAAACTATCGTAGTTTAGAAGATAAAATCTTTGTTCAGAAACAGTAACTAAATCTCTAATGCACAAGCCTAATAATGGATAACGACTATTGGGCCCAGGCCCAGTCTTTTTTTTGTCCCTTCTTCTTCTTCTTTCTCGACGGTTACCTTTTTAAGGGTTCAGGTTCTCTAGCGATTGCCCAAAACTTTCCGATTGCAATCTCTGGTTATGTTAATGAGAGAGCGGATTCGCGATTCTCTACCTCGACGATCGTCGTCATCTTCTCCGACGAGTCACCGTGACGGAAACGAGTCTAGCGTGATTAAACCCGGTGATGTGTCAAACCGTTCCGATCAAATCGATGTGGTTTCTCACGGAGTCGAGTACCGGGAACAAGATATTGATGGTACTCGGAGAGATTCTGATCTGTACGACGTAGAGATTCAAAGACGCACTGGATTTTCTAATAAGAACCGACGAGAAGAAGAAGAGAGAGACGATGAACGTTATGTGAAACATTTTCATCTTCAGGAAGATTCCGGTAAACGTTATGCGGAATCATCGAGAGTCATCACATCGCATAATCATTCGAGATTGAGTGACGAACCTAAGCCCTCTAGATTCATCACATCGCATGATGATGAGTATTCTCCATCTCATGGGAAGAATGTGTTGCTAAGGAACGATGAAACTAGACGATTGGAATCGATTTCTCGCGAGTTTAGTGATTCATCTCGTCATAGTGAAGATGGTAGAGATAGAGATACTGTTAGATATGAATCATCACCTCTGTCACAAGTAGGGTCTAGTTTTGCTGATTTCCAAGATGAAAGCTCTAGGCTTGTAAGTGTAGATTCTAGATCTTTCGGTCGTGTGAATGATTCCGATGAAAGAAGAAGACATGATTGTAATGGGAATATTTGTGCTTCCCAGGTTTTACAGGCTACACTTGTCGATGATCAACAAGGGAATTCCTTTTATAAGCGTGGAGACCATGATTCACCAATTGTGAGCAGGTGTGGCAAAGAGATTGTGGATGAATCTCGCAATAATTATCATATAGGCTCTGAAATAGCAATGAGAGAGTTTCCTAGTGTTAGGCATGATGTCAATAATGTGGCTAGAGAGAGTGATCTTCTTATGCAAACGAGAGGATCTTTATCAAAATCCCATGTCTGTGGTTCAAATAAAGCTGATGTTGATGTGGCCGATACCCATCTTGATTTTTGCAGGAAAGAGAGGATGGCTGACCATTATGAGTCTGTGAAGGAAGATTATCCTTTTGTGGAGTTGGGATCAAGAGTGGTGAATGAACGAGATGATAAGGATGATCACTACAGGAACTTCTGTAATGAAGAAAGGAAGGTTGTTTATTTGGATAACAAATGTCAACCACTGAGAAAGGATTATCAATATGATGGTGTTAACAGTAGAAAGAATCTTGATTTCTGTGAACCATATGCTGTCGTAGATCAAGATGATAAAGCTTTACAGAGCATAGCTCGCTGCTTAAATAAAGAAAGGGAAGCATATTTGGATAATGAGAGAAATGCTGTTTTTTCAGATGATAAAAGACGGGAACTGAGAAACGAGTATCACTGTGGCAATGACGGTAGGATGCATTCTGAGGTAGATAGGACAGATATTTTGGTAGATCAGGATGAAAGAGGAGTGAAGCTTCAACGAGTATGCTTAAACAAAGGAAAGGCAGCATACTTGGATAATGAAAAGAAGGATGTTTATCGGAATTACAAAAGCCGGCAACTGGAAAAAGTTTATGACTCTCGGTCTGATGCTAGGATTTATCCTGATGTCAACAGATTAGATATTCTGGTAGACCGGGAATGGGAAGATGCCAGAGGTTTAAGGTATACAGGAGGATCCTTAAATGATAGGAGGGAAGCATATTTACCTTGTGAAAGTCAGCAACTCCTAAATGATCATGAAACTAACTCCTATGGCATGATGCATCCCGATGTCAACAAATCAGATGTTCTGGTAGACCGGGAAGATTCCAGAGGTCTTAGGTATAGAGGAGTGTCCTTGAATGATAAAAAGGAAGCTTACTTGCAATGTGAAAGCCAGCGACGCCTAAATGATCATGAAACTGACTCTTATGTCACGATGCATCCCGATATCAACAAATCAGATATTCTGGTAGACCATGAAGATGCCAGAGGTCAGAAGTATAGAGGAGTGCCCTTAAATGATAGAAAGAAAGCATATTTGCAACGTGAAAGCCAGCAACTCCTAAACGATTATGAAACTGACTCGTATGTCATGTTGCCTCCTGATGTCAACAGATCAGATATTCTAGTAGACCATGAAGATGCCAGAGGTCTAAGGTTTAAAGGAGTATCCCTAAATGATCGAAAAGAAGCATATTTTCAATGTGAAAGCCAGCAACGCCTAAAAGATCATGACACTATCTCTTATGGCATGATGCATCCCAATCTCAATAAATCAGATATTCTTATAGACCGGGAAGATGCCAGAGCACTTGAGCTTAGAAGAGTATCCTTCGATGATGGAAAGGAATCATACATGGATTATAGAAGGGGGGATGCATATCCGCGTTACAAAAGCCAACAACTGAAGGAAGATTATGACTATGGCATTGATGACAGGATTTATCGTGATGTCAACTCTTCAGATATTATTGTAAACCATGGAGATGCCAACGCACTAGAGCTTAGAAGAGTAGCCTTCCGTGATAGAAATGAAGCATATTTGGATAATGAAAGCAAGGATGTTTATCAGCATTACAAAAAACAACCACTGAAGGACTATGACTCTGGAATTGATGAAAGGATGTATGCTGCTGTCACCAAATCAGAGACTGTGGTAGACCAAGGAGGTACTAGAGCTCTAGAGCGTAGAGGAGTATCCTCGAATGATGGGAGGGAAGCCTATTTGCACTATGAAAGCCAGAAACTTCTAAGAGATCATGAAATTGATTCGTATGGGAGGATGCATCCTGATGTCAGTAGATCATCAGCTGGCAAGCAAGATGAGGAAGCTCTTCGAGGCAGGAGATATCATTTTGATGACCGAGATCAAGTCTACTTGGATGATGAGCGCTTGCAACAACGAAATGGTGGTCATGTTCAAGTTCATGCCAATATGAGATATCCAGATGGTAGAGAAGAGGTTTATCATTCAAATGATCCAATACTGCGTACAAGAGATGCTTATGGTCTTAGAGACGACGCAAGTGAGCTTATGCATGAGAATATGGCTTATGATTACAACTACGGTGATGCTAAGCAATCAAGAATGTCTTATGAGAAGGCAGATAGTGAAAGGTTCCGTGAACATGAAGTAACGTATGATTACAGAGACAAGCTAGGGAACTATGCAGTGGATGGAGGAACAAGCAAAGACCAATTCCGATACTTAACTGATGAAAGGAATTTTGGTAATGTTGATCACACATCAACTCCGCGCCGTCGATTATCTGCAAAAGAGCGTTTAGGTGGACGTGTCGAAGAAGATTCACGTGTTCATGTGAAACATAGACTGCATCAGGTTAGAAACCCAAAACTAAAAGGTAAGTCCCATAAGAGGAACCTCTGCTGAGGTCGTCGCTTCTCTCAACATTGTTAATTCCTCCAAACAAGATTGAGAGAGAAAAGCTCCTAGAAATTCGATGCTTGTGGGTTTCAAAGTTAGGATGTGAAAACAAGGATCCAAAATTTGCAATCTCGGTTCTTTGTTGGTCTGAGAAACAGATTCCAGGATTGAAGTATTTTGGCAGTGAAGGAAGGATATGAGGATATTATCTTGGTTAGTAGATATGCTTCTTTTGGCGTTGAACTTGGGATTAAAATGTTGAGGTTTTTGCGTCTTTTAGATTGTTTGGTCGGTGGTTTATATCGACCTATCAATCAAGTAGACAGTGGTTACTAGACGTTGGTCTTTTTTTGTTTCTGGTAGTGACATTGACATGGGAGATCAACAACTAAATAACTCAACAAGTTTATATAATCTGACAACTTTTTCTTGTTATAATCTCGACACATGAAAAGACTTCTTGTATTGTAGTATTCATGGTGACTCCTTGATAGAACTGTTGAAAAAATTTCTGAGACGGACTAAGACGCAAAAAAAAACAAGTGAAAACAAATCACAGTTCAAACTGGTTTTGGTCATCTCTCGGTCCAAGTGGATTCGGTTTACTTGTTATGAATGACAAGAAAGAAGAAAGTAAACTAAACCGATTGATTTACAGTATATAGAATACCGTCTGGTTTTAAAACCCATGAGTCAAACCCGCTTTTATCAATAAACCTTGAATGACGTCATCTGCCATGTCATCAGAACACTAAACGCTACCGTTTCATTTTTGACTCTCCCCTTGTTCCTCTCTTCTCTCTTCTTTTCGCTTCGTTGCTCCCTCTCTTCTCTGCTCCGCCGGAAAGTCGTGAAATCTCTGCGACTTCATGAATGAAGAAATCTTCTAAGCTCTCAACTGAAGCTAAGCAGACTTGAAATTTCTCTTTATAGGCGTTCTTTAAGATTGATTTCGTACGATCTTCGTGTCTTTTCTTCTTTAAGAGATGCGCTCTAAGGACAAAATCTCCTACTTTTATGATGGTATATTCATCTCTTTCCCTTTTCTTTTTCTTTAAGAAAAAAATCCAATAGTTCTTGAGATTGATAATCTTTATTCATCTAAGTTTTCACTTGTAACTCTTGAGCAATTTTATCCACTTGAACCGCACTACGTACGTGTCTTTATTGCTCAATAGATTCATCGAAAGGTTGAATCTTTCAAATCTAGAGTCTAGAATAAGTAAAGGGTTACGATTAGTTTTTAAGTAGGGTTTTTGATGAAAAGAAGAAGGGTTTTAGGTAAAATTTCTGTTTTTTCGATTCCTTGGCTCTAGTCTGAGCTTAAGCCAGAAGTCTTCTTGTGGTGAAGAAGACTCTAGTTCTTGTGAAGTTGGCTTCTTTGATTGTTTTGGTCAAGTCTTTGTTACTTCTTTGCTGAAATATGAAACCCTATAACTTTTTTGTTAACTTTAGCATTGCATATAATGTTTGAAATTGTGTTCTTTCGAGGTTGAGGTTCCTCTCTGAGAAACTTTTATAGACTTGATAGTTATATAACTTTCCTTTTCGTACTTCAAGATGTTCTGCATGATTCAAACTCTGATGAGAGTTTCAGATTTTTTTCTTGTTGATGACCGAGCCTTTGTGGCAGTTTATAGGAGATTGTGATGTTATGCTGAATGTTTTTTTTTTTTTTGGGTTGCAGGGGATGTGGGGAGCGTCTATTTTGGTCCAAATCACCCGATGAAACCTCACAGGCTTTGTATGACTCATCATCTTATCCTTGCATATGGCCTCCATAGCAAGATGGAAGTTTATGTCAGTCTCTTGTTCATCTTTCATGTTTCTTGTTTGTGATCCTTTTATTCCTTTTGTTTACGTTCTCACTGTACATCTTGATTGAACTCTTTATATGTTCTCTACTGTTTCAGCGTCCACACAAGGCATATCCTATTGAGATGGCTCAGTTCCATTCTCCCGACTATGTGGAGTTCCTGCAAAGAATTAATCCAGAAAATCAGAACCTGTTCCCCAATGAAATGGCTAGATGTAAGTTGTGTATCTTCATTAATTGGTTTTTGCAATCTACATGTTCTGCTGAAATGAAGTTACTGTTATGCAGATAATCTGGGAGAGGATTGTCCTGTCTTTGAAGATTTGTTTGAATTTTGTCAAATTTACGCCGGCGGAACCATAGGTAAATACACGTAGTTGATATTAATGTTTGCTTGTCACTTTTGAGAAATGACTGACTGAAAATTTTGTCTATAGATGCTGCACGCAGGTTAAACAACAAACTGTGTGACATTGCTATAAATTGGGCGGGCGGGCTGCACCATGCCAAAAAATGTGATGCATCTGGGTTTTGTTACATCAACGATCTTGTACTAGGAATTCTTGAGTTGTTAAAACACCATCCCCGTGTGCTATACATAGATATAGATGTTCATCACGGTGATGGAGTTGAAGAAGCTTTTTACTTCACTGACAGGTACAGTTACAAGTCCATAACACTACTTCTCGAAAGTTGTTTCTATAGAAATTAATTGCCAATATCTTTGAATTTTGTTATGGCAGAGTAATGACTGTTAGCTTTCATAAGTTTGGGGATAAGTTCTTTCCAGGGACAGGCGATGTTAAGGTAATATTCAGAATTCATTTCCTGATTTATGAGGACGGTTTCAATGTGTTTGGATGAATTTTCATTGTGATGTTTTTTTCTTTAAAAGGAAATAGGAGAAAGAGAAGGGAAATTTTACGCCATTAATGTGCCGCTGAAGGATGGAATTGATGACAGTAGTTTCAACCGTCTGTTCAGGACAGTAAGTTCTTGAACTGAAACAATCAAATTCTCAATGCTTTCACTGTTTTTTGTGTGTTTGATCATTTCCTTTGATCTCTAGATAATTTCCAAGGTTGTTGAGATATATCAACCGGGTGCAATTGTTCTTCAATGTGGGGCAGATTCACTGGCCAGGGATCGACTAGGATGCTTTAATCTCTCTATTGATGGTGCTTTTTCTTCTTGTAATCAAAATCTCTTTCTCTCTTTCAATCTCTCGTTTGCTAGTTTCCTTGCGAATCGGGTTTTAAAATGGCTTCTGCTATGCATTTTCCAGGACATGCCGAATGTGTTAAATTTGTGAAGAAGTTCAATCTTCCCTTACTGGTATTTAATCTCTCTTGACTTATATATGTACGACTCCTTTCTGTAATCATAAGTTCATTGATGACGAAGTCAGTTTATTTTCTGATTGTTAATTAGGTTACAGGAGGTGGAGGATACACAAAAGAGAATGTAGCTCGGTGTTGGACAGTTGAGACTGGCATTCTTTTGGACACAGAACTTCCTAATGGTTAATAAATTTCTTAATGTTTGTTATAGTACGGTTAACGTCACATGCTCACGGGTTAATTGTTCTGCAGAGATTCCTGAAAACGACTACATAAAGTATTTTGCGCCGGATTTTTCTTTGAAGATACCGGGTGGTCACATTGTAAGGAACTCTTATGTAGCTTATAGTTCCTCATTGCTTTAACAAAATCTATAGAGAGATTGAGAATCATTTGTGTTTTGAAATTAAAACAGGAGAATCTTAATACCAAATCATACATCAGTTCGATCAAAGTGCAGATTTTGGAAAATTTGCGATACATTCAACACGCTCCAAGCGTGCAGATGCAGGAGGTAAACTCGGATCATCATAGGACAACTGATGCTTTAATCAATCTTTTGTTTTGTGTTATCTAACACTGATCAGTTTATTACTTGAATTTCTTAGGTTCCACCGGATTTCTACATACCGGATTTTGATGAAGACGAACAAAACCCGGATGAACGTGTGGATCGTAAGTATCGATAACCACCTTGAAATCTAGTTTAGTCCCTTTGCTTTCTCAGTGACTAATGTTAGATTGTAAACGGTTTGATGGTTTCAGAGCGTTCGCGAGATAAGCAGGTCCAAAGAGATGATGAATATTTCAATGGGGACAATGATAACGATGCTTCGTAACTTCGATTCTTAGAACAGAAGACACTCCATTGTTGTTTATTTTTTGTTTGGTTATGAGAATTGTAATGATAACAACATTTTAACGGCTATTGGGCACCAAAACCACTACTGATTGATTCCAGCTTCTTCATCTTTTTCTCTTGGTGTATATTAATGGAGCTTTTCTTATTCATTACTTCGTCACTGTTACAGTTTTTGATTTACTTTTTTTTGTTGGCCAAGTTATATAGTATTTCAGTTTGGTTATACAGAAGTTCAATTTTGATCAAATTCAATTCAAGTTATATAAGACACTAAAGATGCATAGAAAAATAGATTAAAAAACACTAATGAGAAATACTTTTGAATAAGAATAATTTAGGTAGATCTGACTATAATCGAATGTCAAAAAACAATGTAGAGAATAACTTAACAAATAAATATATATTTGAAACCAAAATTCAATGATTATTAACAAAATCTGAGAGAACAGAAAAAAAATCGATAAAGAATTTGAGGATTTGTTGATGAAAATTGCATCAGAGTCATGGAAGTTTATGATTTCCAACACTGCTCAAGAATTTGAGCTTCTTTTATCAAAGGTGATTAACTCATCATTTGCAATCAGATGGACATATAAATATAAAAAATAATTAGAAAGTAGCAAAACAAAAACACAATTGTATAAAAGAAACAGAGAAAATGATAAGCAAATCGAGAGAATAAAGAATTGGTTTCATGGTGCAGAATTGCAGATGTAATTTATTGGTGGCTGCGAGCTATGTAGGGTTTTACATATATTTATACGAAGGTGGTCAAAATCTAACCCTAGGGTTTAATGTGTTAACCATGGTTAAGTTAACAATATAATTTAGATATTAAATATATGAGATTTTTGTTTCTGTTCTTCTTCTGATGGAGGAACAATACCAACGAGGACCAATTTATAATTCTGTTGTGAGGAATATAATCCCAACAGAGATTTACCACTAAGTGATTAGTTGTTTTTTTTTTTTTTCCTGTTTACTACAGTTCGATTTTGTTAGGATTTTGATGATTTCAAGTTTATTGGTTTGATTTCTTAGATTTTAAATGTTTTTTTAAAAAAGATTCTAAGGCTTTGAATGATTATGGTGATAAAACCGTTTATGGATTAGATTACTGTTGGACCTGGATTTCGCACCTCGAAATCCACCAGCAAAAATATTAATGGGCTTTACATCAATAGGCCCAGCCCGACGGTCCACAAGGGAGACGCTGCGACCTGATAAGGATGATTGACCAGGTAAGCTATATTCTCGGAACAAACCTGATTTGTAGGAGATACCGGCGCGGATCTCGGAGGCGGTTGACATGACTTGAAGACCTATATAAGAAGAAGAAGGGCGACTTAAGGAGGATCATCGCCTGCCTACTACAAAACCTAATACTCACAAATACTTGTACTCGCATACTTATCATTGTAATCTGTTGATCTTCATCAATAATAAAATCATTTCGTTCTTTAGCAATTCAACTCTCAAAGCATCATTGAAAATCTAGCCCTCTTTGTCCATAAAAACTAAGAACAAATTTCGAGTGTGGATTTTAGCACCCACAATTACCTTTGGTTTAATATCTATAAATTATAGTTTATGAATGCTGGCAAAAAAATAAAAATTGTCGTAAACTAAATCTGACCGCTTTTAAATAGAAATAAATTTGGTATCCGACAGATTGTTGTCCGCCCAAAATTAAAATAAGGTTTTTGGAATTTTCATGGATGAATTTCCAAGTTTTTATGGCTTAACCTGAAAAATTCAATGAAAAATGTTCCAAAAATCTCCCAAAAGGAGTTCCAAAGTCAAGCACAAACACCAATATTAGACAAATTCCCTCTTTCTGTCCATACACATCCAATATACCCTCTACAAATATACATCAAAACAAGAAATTGACCCGCGGTACACCGCGGGGCTATATTTTATTTTTAAAAGTCGAAATTTAAATCTTTTGAAGTTTATCTACAGATATAACCTATAGTTTTTTTTTAAAATGTACATATATATCTATATATTATTCAGTGTGAGTATACAATTAGTATGTTTTAGGTTTCAATTTTTAAAATATAGAAATGAAAACATACAGTTCATTAAGTAACGATGTATGGCGGATTTAAATTTAATTTCTTTTGTTGTTTGCATTTTATTATAATATTTTTAAATAATATAAATAATTTTATATATGTCAAAAATGATATTTTTGAGTAAATAAATATTATAACAATGCAGTATGGATGTAATTGTAGCAAGGATAGTTATGGCTAATAAATATATTTTGTAAAGATCTTTTGGCAATGATTGTTTAGGTTAATATCTTTGATTTAATTTTGAAAATCTAAATAATAAATGCCAATGGGATGCCATCGTAAATAGTAGTAAACTCAAGGGCTATGTTTATTTTTAAAAATTCGAATTTTTTTTTAAAAAGATTATCTATTGATATAACCTATTGTTTACTAAAAAAAAAAATCAACCCGCATGAAACAATATTCTTGAAGAATTTCTATTGTTGATGATATTGTAATGGTCTCATGTGTGCGTCATTTTTTCTACACAAATTTTTGAATTAAGAAATAATTATTTGTTACTGATAAATCGATATTAATTTATTTTTTTGATAAATCGATATTAATTATAATAGGTTTCCAAATATTGAGGGATTTTAAAAAGATTATTTTCTATTTTGTGTTTGTATAATCATTTTAAATAATCTGCATTAAATGCGATAATTAAGGGATTTTGTTATAATTAATGGAAATATGAAAAAATCTTGGAATATCTTTCCATTACTCGATTTTTTTTTTGATTTTGTCATTAACCTCTTTTCATTAATATTTTTGTTTTACATAATAAGAAATTAAAACGGATCAAAACTAACTCTAATTCATAAAATTATTATATAATAAATGTGATCAAATTACATATATATTTTGTTTTTAAAACATTCTTATTGTTGATCCTTGCTTAAGTAGTACACCACATTACTCTTTCTCCAATAATACTTTCACGCTTAAAAAATAAGATCAAATCAAAAATAAACTTCTATTTTCCTGCAAGAAAAAATAAGCAAATTAAATGAAGAACTTATATATATATATAATTAGTTAAAACTAAAACATACATAGAAAATAAGTATTAGGAATCACTAAATATAAAATACGTTAAATAAAAAAATAAATATTATATGATGTCATTGTTAGCCATAGAAAACCCCCTAATTGTTAGAAAATATTTTGAGATTAGAAAAATTATACTTACCAACCAAAATCCTTATCCAGAGTTTTGTAAAGGCTTATATCATAAAAACAATGAAAACCAATAACATTAGAATAATTAAAGTTAAGAATTAGAATTTTATTTTATTGAAAATTTAATTTTCTTCCTACCTTAAAGAAAATGAATTAAAAGAGTGAACTTGTTAGCCTACAAAATAAAATCATTAACAAACATCATGAAGAAATTAAACATGAAAATGTAAAAAAAAATACTGAACACTAAAAACAAAAATAGTATACTTGATGATTAGAAGAAGGACTAACTAACCTTTTATTGCATACCTTCTTTAATAGTTTATAAGAGATGAAATTGATGATCTCCATAGTTTTCCAAAATTTCGATGAAACTGAAACAAATTTCGATCAAGTCAATGGTAGTGATACATCCTCATGATCGTCGCTCATACATACATGCATAAATAGACAAATAATAATATGTTAGAAACGACAAAGCTTCATAAAATTATAAACAATCTATACTAGTATAATCGCAGCACTTTTTGTGACGGGTGGGTAAAAAAGCTTTCGGGTATATCGGATACCCGACCCATTTTAAAAATTCCTTCACAAAAAATTTGTTGGATCGGGTTATATTTAACCCAACTCATACACCGGATATTCCATATTTAATAATTTAGATTTTTAGAAGATTTGATTAAGATTTATAATTATGATTCTCCTATCATCTTTGTTTGATTTGTTTTTAACTGTTTTGAATCATCATATAATACATAAAGTAAAAAAAAAATCAATTTTTTTTCTGCATATACTGTGATTCGAAATTTTAAAAACGGACATATATTATCCAATTGACGAAAATGTGTGTTCAACGTTCTACATCGATTAAAATATTTAGACAATGATTCAGAATCATATCATAAATAAGAACATTAATAAAATAAATGAGTTTTTTGGCGGGATGGGTTTGGCGGGACGGGTTTTTGAATCAACAATAATAAAAAGATTAAAATATCATTAATCCGCCGCTTCAATACGGATTTAATCCTTATTTTTTTTAATACAAATCACAGGACGGGTTAAGAAATTACGGAACGGGTTATATTTCGGAAATGATTTATATGGCGGACGAATTTGAATCAATATTTATATACCGCTTTAATACGGGTTAAATCCTCAGTTTATTAATAATTATCTCGTGGACTCGTGGTATACCGTTACTTAATAACAATTGTAAACTATAATACAAATAAATATGTTATAAGGAGATACAATTTACAAAATATTTTTATACTAACTTTAAAATTAAATCATCCCGCGGTACACCGCGGGTTAAAATCTAGTAACAATATAAAGAAATATGAACTAAAAACGAAATTAGAGGTTTGGCGGAATGAATATTTTGATTAGTGGAATAGCATGATCTTATATATATAGTGAAGTAGACCGTGCTGGTTTAAAGTTTTCAAGAGGAATATTCTGTTTATCTTGCTTTAAATTTTTTTAATTATTTACGTTTTAAGAAAATTTTATAATTAATTCTTTTTGTAAACTTGTCGAAGAATTATTAATACTCAAATCGTAAAGATATTTATGAGACTATCTTTCTATTGTATATTCATTACTTTTATATATTTATTGTTACAATCTATTTTAAGTAATCTATATTTATGTCAAAGAATAAAAATTAATTATTTGCTAAACTGATTCGAAATTGATTTTCAAATGATTATTCTTTCCAAAATCTTAACTAAAGATTTGAGCATTAAACGAAATTAAAGTAATGATATATAGAGTAATTAGTTTCTTTAAAATCGAGATTTACGCAAGATTTTAGGAACAATAGATGAGATAAGGTATGTGATAGTAATTAGTTTAAATTGTGGAAATATTCGAAATCAATTAGAGATAAAATTAATTCTGCCATTTATGATTGGCCAAATAAGGGATTGAAATTATTACAAACTTCCTATAATTCCTTATCCAAGATCCGGATAGAGTTAAACCCGGGTAAAACCCGGATCCAAATGAATTAATGCAAAAAAAAACCCTGTAAAAATGTATATGTAGATTTATCAACCATCTATATATACATTTTTGGAGTACATTTAGCAAATAAATCCTGGAGGTCCACCTTATTTACGGATGAATGCCATTGACATTAATTATTTAAATTTGAAAAAAAATAATTAAAAATATTACCAACACGATTTCGAGAATCATAATATCAGATCTTCGTTAATTTTCTGAGTCATTAATGTGATAATCTTTGGGAAATATTTCTTTGTAAAAAAAAAATTCACATTAAGAAAGACATTAAAATCGACACTAATAATTAAATTATTTAGATATTCAATTATTTTAAGATTCTTAGAGCATCTTTATCGGCAGTTCCTTAACATAAATCTTAGGGATTATATAATTAAAATTAAATGAGAAATGAGAGTTAAACTTAAGGAACGTTCCTTAGTTAAGGAATGTTTATTCACCTAAGAGACGTGCACGTGTCATTCAAAGAGGAGTGGGGCTTGATAAAAACAAGAGTAATGAAAAAATTTGCCCGTTTGCGAAGAAAGACATAATCCAATTGGTGGTTTCAGGGATTGAATCTTGTTCTTGGATTACGAATTTGGTTCTTGAGATCACGGCGGCGAAACATACCGGGAAATAGGCGTGTCCTTCGGTGCCGACGACGATTTGGGGTTTAAATTCACGGAGGATTTTGTAGGATTCGAAAGTGGATTGAATTAAGCGGAGAGGGAATTTGAGGAAAGAGGTGAAACAGAGGAATGGTCGGGACGATGATGATCCGACGGTGGAGATGGCTGAGAAATCGAATCCGGTGGAAGGAACCTTCGTGCTCTCCATACTGTTTGGGAATCCGATGAAGAGGATCCGAGCAAGTATCTTGATTTGTGGGTACTGAATTTGTGCTTGACACTCATCTGATTTAGAATTGAGATAGGATCTAGTATCTTGATTTGGGTCTTTCTTCTTTGTTTCAGATAGAGGATTGTTGAAGACCATGGAGGAAGAGTTTTCTCGTCCACCGATTAATGTGAGAATATGATAAAGGTTTCTCTTTTCCTCAATTGTGTTGGAGTGATTATGCTTTGATATGTCTCATGATTGTGATCATGTTTCTCTTGAAACTCTCAGGTGTATCAGTGTTACTCAATCTATAATCATGTTATCTAGTGAATATTTTTGCTTTTGACTTAGGATGTTCTTAGATTTGTGGTCATGGATTCGTTAAAGAGTCCAACATTGATTCCTCAGTTAAAGGATGAATTTTTCTCTCTGTTCGTATGTTTAGCTTGGTCTAGAGTAATGAGTCTTATAGAGACATCTTATGGTTAGATTTGGTCCAATTATATAGTTTAATCATGGGCTGCTGTGTAGCTGCTGTCAAAAGATGGCTTCTTGGAGTCTTTGGCTAGTATGATCTTGACTAACCTATGGCTTTTTCATATTCTTGGAGTTTTTGGTCTGCTGGAATGTTTTTTTTACTGAGCTTTGCCCATGAAATGGCTAAAAGATTTTATATTTGATCTTGTTAGCTCAGTTAAAATTTTTGGTGAGATTATTGATTACTGGGTTGCTATTTTACTGCATATTTAGCCTCTAATATGTGCTGATGTGATGGGATTATTGCGTACAGTTGAATGCCTTGCAATGCTCAGCTATATGTAATCTTTGGCTTGCCTGTGCGTGTCTTATAACAGCATGATGATCTTCCTAGTGATGCAAAAGGTGACAGAAGACCAACTTCTGGTACTTCTCCCCAAATTATCTCACCTTTCCTTTTCCTCATTCCATAACCTTTAAAAGAATTGCTAAGTCTTATGAACTTGATTACTTGCTTTGAAATGTTTGAAGAGAGAGGATCGTGGAGAAGTTCAAGAGATCAGAGTAACCGAAGTGGTGGAGATGATGACAAATCACAGCATCGTAAAGATGAAGATAAAAGCTCGTGGCGACATGACAAATCACTAACAATGTCTTAAAAAAACTTGTGGTGATAAGAATGCGAGTGAAATCATGTCTATGGTGCTTGGAGATTTGTTCAAGTGCTCTGTTTTGTGTGAATGGCAAAACATAATCAGTTAATGGCTTTGTATCTCATTATGTTTTAATTTTTTTTAATTTGCAACAATTATTAAATTTACTATAATTATAAATTTTATTTTTATATTAATATTTATTTTTCTAAGAACCACATGTTAAGAGCCTACCATTAATCACACAAAAATCTTAACTCAAAAATACTATCTCTTAACAATCACTTTTACAAATAAATTACTTAAATATTGCTAAGATTAATTTCTAAGAGACCACCTATAATCATGCTCTTATATCTTTATTTGATAAACGACGGGTCCATCTTCGACCAACGGAATCGATTCGCCGGTAAACACAAAACCTCCGTAGAAAGATCCAACGGCACCAATACAGCTACGTCGTACCCGCAGCGCCACAAAAACTCCACCGAAGAAGACGACACGAAGGCGAAAAAAGATAGGGATAATATCGTAATTTCCAGTAAATAGAAAGCTGTCTTCTTCTTCTTCTTCTTCTTCTTCTTCTAACTTCCTTCCACGCTTCAGATCCGAGTTTTCGAGAAGCTCTCTCTATCTCTCTTATCTTTTTTCATAGATCCTTCACTTTTTTCTTCTCCTTCAGGTCAAAAACTCGATTCCACTTACCTGTAATCAAATCTTTTCTTTATTTTATCATTCTGATTCAATCGATTTTGAAATTTTCTTCTTGATATTTCACTGATGCTTGTAGATCGTGCTTGTTTTGATGGTTTAATCTAAATTTGTAGGGATTTGGATCAGTAGTGTTCAATCTCAAGGGTTGTTTAAGCTTCTGAACTATATCCATGGATCATACGGAACTAACTTTAGAGCAGGTTTGTGATTTGATTTTGCATACATTTACTTGTTCATTAAGTAACCAAATCTGCAGAATTGTTAGGATACACAAAAATTTATGGATTTTGACTGATTCAATCTCTGTAGGTATTGAAAAGAGACATACCATGGGAGACTTACATGACAACTAAGCTGATTTCAGCAACAGGTCTCCAGCATTTAAGGCGCTACGATAAAAAACCCGAAAGTGCAAGGGCACAGTTGCTGGATGAAGTAAATCTTCTACAAAGCTTTCTTCTGATTTGTAAAACTTGAGTCAGTTTCTCTGTTGATCATGCAAGGGTTCACCTTGTCATTTTGAAGTGATATGTGGTGTTGTTATTGCAGGATGGTCCAGCTTATGTTCATCTGTTTGTTAGCATCTTACGTGATATGTTCAAGGAAGAAACAGTTGAATATGTTTTGGCTTTGATTTATGAAATGCTCTCAGGTAAATAAATTAATGAAGATATTTGCGTTTTAAATTTTCTTCATTTAGTTAGATACCGATTGATATTAATGTATCAACTTCAACTGTTTGACAGAAAACCCAACACGAGCTCGTTTATTCCATGATAAATCTTTGGTACATGAGGATACTTACGAGCCTTTCTTGAGGTAAGAAACTACTATGTAGTAGTGTTATGACTGTAACTTGGTCTAGTTAAGTATTGTTTCTAAGGATAAAGTCGCTTATTGGATCAAATCTGCTGTTTCTGCTTTGGAAAGGTCTAGGACTTCTTGCATTTTGCTCGTTCTCTTACTTGACCTATTAACGTGTCAGATTTCCTTTCTAGTTTTCTTGTATTCAAATGAAACCTGACCTTTCCTAGTTATAGGATATGGCTATATATCAAACAAGAATCAATCTGTCTGTGTGTTTTGTTTACTGGGAGATTTTCACTTGACCTGATTTTTTGGCCCTGCACATAAATTGTAGTGGTTCCAGCACAAGATTTCGTTTCTATTACCTTGGTCCTTGCTCGTTTTTCGCTGAGATCCTGATTTGAGTCGGTTTATTAAGTAACTACAATCTTCCTGCCAAAGGGGGAAACATATGCAAAACTCAATTGGGGGAAACTGCTTTCATTTACATTTATGTTTGATTTTGTCTGCTTATCTTTAAAAGTAGGCAAGCTAAAAGATATGTTCTTTTTCAGGTTGCTGTGGAAGGGAAATTGGTTCATTCAAGAAAAAAGCTGCAAGATCCTTGCCTGGATAATAAGGTATTCAATACTGCTTATCTATCATACTTCTATCAAACATGTATGTAACATACAACCTCATTTACATTTACATATAGTGCTAGGCCAAAAGCTGGTACTGATGCTATTGCTAATGGAGAAGCTTCGGGTTCAAAGAAACAGATTACTACAATTGATGATGTTCTCAAGGGTTTGGTGGAGTGGCTTTGTGCTCAGGTTTCTTCTTTTCTCTTACTCTCTTTCCTCTTTGTTTTCTTTCTTGTTTATGTTGGTCCTGCACCAGTGTTTAGCTAAGTGTTAGTTGTCTTTGTCGTGTAGACAATGCCATTGTTAGAGCTAGAGTTTAGTGGCATAGCATATAAATTGTGGAAAAAACTGAGGCAGTTAACATTTCAGCAATCAAAATTCTACTCTCGTCATGCCTTTGTTATAGGGTTAATTGCAGGGCAGGGCAGAAGAACATGTTTTATTTTCACGGTTTGGCAAAGTGAGTGTCATCTCTCACATTTTGGTAAATATTTAGGTGCAAGTTTGGTGACATGGAGGGAACCTTTAGACTGTGACATAGTGAATCCAGAAATGCTTTTGATGTCCATCATAGATATTACAATGCTAACTTTGATATGCAGTTGAAGCAACCTTCTCATCCTACGCGTGGTGTTCCAATTGCAATCAGCTGTCTGTCGTCACTCCTTAAGGAACCTGTTGTCAGATCGTCGTTTGTTCAGGCAGATGGGGTTAAGTTACTTGTCCCTTTAATCTCCCCAGCATCCACTCAGCAGTCTATCCAGGTAACTCTATGTTTCAGTGAAAATTTTCCACTAAAGCAGTTTCCAAATCATGCAAGTTACTGGCAGAAAGGTGATGATTTTCAAATAACTACTAAATCTGTTGATTTATATTGCCCCCTTACTCTAAATTCTGGGCTGGACAAATGAGTAACGATTAGATTGTTCTCTTAGAAGGAAAAATTGCTCTCTCTTTTTTTTGTCATAATTAGCTAATTCACTTGATTTGTATGCTTTTGGCCGACAGCTTCTGTATGAAACATGTCTGTGTGTGTGGCTTCTGTCATATTATGAACCCGCAATAGAGTACTTGGCAACATCTAGGACAATGCAAAGGCTCACAGAAGTGGTTAAAAGCTCGACTAAGGAAAAGGTCAGCTATGGTTTCTTGTTTGGCTTGGCCATTAACTTATTGCAAACTGGTTAAAGATCAAATGACATTTAGTTGATAAACCACAAATGACATTATGTCGTGTAATACCAAGATTTTTGGTTTTTTTCTTATTGGTTTTGGATCTTTAATTTGCATAAATGTGGGTGTGGGCCGTCGTGTGATGCGCTTGTTATGTTTATCTGACGGTATTTTATCTTACAGGTTGTGAGGGTTGTCATATTGACATTCAGGAACTTACTTCCTAAAGGTACATTTGGTGCTCAGATGGTTGATCTTGGACTACCGCATATTATCCACAGTCTAAAAACACAAGCATGGAGTGACGAGGTAAGAAGGCATTTAAATCAAAGCCTGAGAACTGCTGCTTATTAGTTGTTTTAATGGGGAAGATGAATTTCTTAAATGTCTGCTAAATCTACAGCAAGAAATCTGGTTTATAGAAGTGATGCCGATAACATTAGATGTGTTTTAAGTACATGGTCATTGTTAAACCCGTTAAATTTTGAACTTGTAAGGACTTGCTGGATGCATTGAACCAACTAGAAGAAGGGCTAAAAGACAAGATCAGGAAATTGAGTTCCTGTGACAAGTATAAGCAAGAGGTTCTTCTTGGCCATCTTGATTGGAACCCAATGCACAAAGAGGCCAATTTCTGGCGTGAGAATGTCACAAGCTTTGAGGAAAATGACTTCCAGGTATTTCTTCTTTTAACCAGTCTCGGGAGTCAAAGTGTAGAAAGCTGGCTGATCTTCCTAATCACCCGTTAAAACTTGTTGGATACAGATACTCAGGGTCCTCCTCACGATCCTTGACACGTCAAATGATCCAAGATCGTTGGCGGTGGCATGCTTTGATCTATCACAGTTCATACAGTACCATGCAGCGGGGAGAGTGATCGTAACAGACCTCAAGGCGAAAGAACGAGTGATGAAACTGATGAACCACGAGAACGCCGAGGTCACCAAGAACGCCCTCTTGTGCATCCAGAGGCTTCTCCTGGGTGCGAAGTACGCTAGCTTCTTGCAAGCTTGATGGAAACTTTGCATGTTTCTATAATATGGAAAGTAACCAAAACACACACAGATTGTGTCCAAACAAAAACTGCATCATCTGTTTATATTATTTGTCCTGGAAAATATCTGCTCTGCTATTGTATGCTTAAATAGATTATTTCTGGGTTGTTTTTTTCCCTTCTTATGTATTTATATTCAATAAAAAGAGGCTCCTTTGATACAGAGAGGCAATTTTGGGACAAGTTTGTTGTATAATGTGAGAGTTTGAGCTTCAATGGAGTCAAATGAGACACTTTTGATTTACTCGTTATGACTGCAACAACAAGAAGACTTGCTCGTCTACTGAAATTTGTCTCTGCATTCCATTATCACAACATATTAATAATTTGTCTCTGCATTCCATTATCACAACATAAAAATAATAAAAACCAGTAAATTATCAGACATCCCCTGAGAAGATTTTGCTTGTTGTAGAAAATGTCACATTCTAATATTACTGTACCATGCTATGTAATTTCAAGATTCCTCAATAATTACAACCAATCAATCTTATATGTATTAGATAATGATATAACAAAGGTTTTTCAAGAAAACCACCAACAAGATATAAGCTTCATATCTCTGAAAATTAGATTATTTCATTAAGACATCTCATCAGAGTATCAACTTTCTGCAGTGATACTATCCAGCAAGCTAAGTCAGTGCCTGTCAAAGAAAAAAGTAGACCAAGTAAGAGATCAAGATTCAAATTTCCATGCATGTGAGCTTTGTACTAACAAAACAGATCAACCAGGAATATAAGGATTTTAAAAACTGAAAATATAGACTGTTTGAATGGATAGACTCATTAAAAACTAAGCACCAGATGACTCGCGTTTCCAGATATACTTGTTTGCCTAAACGACCTTCTTTTATGGAGGGTTAATCTGTACGTATAGTGACTTATTGACTTACAATTATCTACAACTAAATGAGCTCTAAAATGATGCATGGTGATTGATTGATTATTACCTTCTCAAAACCATGAGCTCCACCCTAATACATGTTTGGATCGTGTTTGTTGTACATTAGCTTAACCTGAAAATTCAATGAAAACAGTTCTAAAATCTCCCAAAAGAAGAATTCAAAAGTCCAGCAAACAACAAACACCAAAGGTACCTTTTTATCTGCATCAGGTGGGAAATTTCATCTTGCTTTCTATACATTATAAGCCTTTCAATATGTCCTCTGCAAACATAACATCTAAATTTATCAATATAAGAAAAATTTTAACTTCCAACTCTCCAAAGACTAAGCACATCTCAACTAGCCAAATCCTTGTCACATAATATTGAATAAATTTCTCTTTGTTCTATACCTTTGTTCTGGTCATCCATTGCAGGAATGAGATCAAATTCCCTGAAATCAGATGCCTTCATCGGTCTGGATAATGAATTAATGATGTTATCTCAATCCCGCGACATTTCGCCAATCAGAAACATGAATTTTAAAGTCTTAACAGCTTCTTCTCTTCCTCGTCTCCTATCTTCACCGTCTTTTTTTCCATATATCTTCTTATCTGCAATTAATTTAAATTTTAAACATAACCCAACACTGCACGTTGATAATCATGCACACGTACAACGTACGTAGTGCGCAATTTAATAAACTTAAAATTAATTAAAGATGAAAATGGCTTAAAATTTCTAACCGTATCCATCGATGCTCATCTACATGAAGGGACCTCCAAGATATCCCGAATTCTTTGATCTTCCAAGAATTGCTATAGTCTGTTTTGAACTCAAAGACAAGCTCGGTGGAAGTCACATCCTCTGTTTCAACTTCAAATGTGTATATATGCTCTGTTAAAAGTGGATGTATAGTATGATTGTTTGGTTCACACTGAACTTTGAGATTATTCTGTTTATCCCTGATGTCAATATATACTCCCATCGAAAACTGATCAGCACCCGTTTCTTCGTTACCCATAACCAGCATGAAACAAGCCTTAAATCTCAAGGATGTGGGAAGAGGCGACTCATTCAACTTGATTGTCAAGGAACCCCCAGAACTATCCGGTAACATCTCCAGGTGATTGAAGCAGGCAGGCACTTGTGTACCGGGTAACATCGCATATCCAAGAGTCGATGTGTTCATGATAAGATCTCTGGCTTCTTGATTCAAATTGAAGCATTTGGAGAAATTGAGATAAATATCCGGATTGTTAAAGGAACAATCAAGTCTCTCAAGGGATTGACAATTATCTGCATCTAAGTAAGCTAGGGAGTCTGAAAATTGTGGGAGTGATACCAGATTGTTGCAGTTGTAGAGTCTAAGCACACGTAAACGAGACATTCCCTTGACCCATGGAGCAACCTCTTGTATATCTTCGTTCAACTGCAGCAGCGTGATGATGTCAAGAGCATGTGGGGATTCCTTGAGGCTTTCAAAGTATGAAATCCGAAAGTAATAAAGACGAGACCATGACATGATCGACAAAGGAACTTCTTTTATTGCAGTTCCTATGAGCCTGAGATCCTTAATGTTTGTAGAGATCTCAGGAAAACTTTTCAATTGAGAGCAATTTGTGAGATCAACTGTATCGAGAGATTCCAAGTTGATATTTGTTGGAAGAGCCTCTAGCTTTGAGCATCCATACATTGTCAACGCAGACAATTGTTGAAGGTTTCCTATTGAGGAGGGAAGCTCCAATAGACTTGAGCAGTTGGATAGATTAAACTCTTGGAGATTAGTCATATCTCCAATAGAGGAGGGGAGTTTCACGAGACTTGAGCATCCGCTAATATCCAATTTCTTCAGATTTGTCGCAGTTCCAATAGAAGGAGGGAGCTCTAGTACACTTGAGCAATTTCGGAGATTTAATTCCTCGAGATTAGTCGCATTCTCGATATTGGGGAGCTCCACAACACGTGAACAATTATTTAGAAATAATTCTTGGAGATTAGCTGCATTGATAGAGGAGGGAAGCTTCACAAGACTTGAGCAATTATTAAGATACAATCGCTCAAGTTTGGTTGCATTCCCAATAGATGGAAGCTCCACAAGATTTGAGCAATCAGAGAGATCTAATTCCCGGAGATTGGTTGCATTCTCAATAGAAGAAGGGATTCTCACCAGACTTGAGCAATTAACGAGATACAATTTTTGGATACTAGTCGCGTTCTCGATAGCGGGAAGCTCCACTATACGTGAACAATTTCTTAGAGACAATTCCCGGAGAGTAGTTGCATAGATAGAGGATGGAAGCTTCACAAGACTCGAGCAATCATCAAGATTCAGTAGCTCAAGTTTCATTGCATTCCCAATACAAGACGGAAGTTCCACTAAACTTGAGCAATTTCGGAGTTCAACTTCTTCGAGATTAGTTGCTGTTGAAAGATCGGGAAGTTCTTTCAGATCTCTAGAATGACTCAAATTCATCCATTTGAGATTTCTAAGTTGCTGCATTTGAAAAAGAAGATCTTGTTGATACGATTGAAAGTTTGTTAAGAAAAAACATTTTCGGAAACAAATTATAGATTTTTACAAAATTGAAAGATTTCATCAAAACTACTTACTTTAGTTCCTTCCCATAGCTTTTGAAGCTTGCTGTCTTGCAGATTTAGTTCGACGAGAAACTCAGTATTAAAAGTAGAAGGCAAACATATATCCTGGAAATAACTCCAATTCAGTGATCTAATCTTTTGAGAATGATAAATCAGACCTTGCAGTACTGATTGCTGTCTCTCAGTCTGAGCAAGATCATCACCATTGATTCTAACAAACTGAAAATCATGCATTCTTTCAAGTGCTTTCTCACTTATATTCAATTCTTCCTCAGTCTTAGATAAATCTAAATTTATCCCTATAAAACGTCTACTATCCTGAAAAATGAGCAAAAAGAAATATAAGTAATGCTCGTTAGTAATCAAATAAACTCAATTAATAGGGGGAGATGCAATGGAAAAAACTTACTGTTGTATCATCGTCGAGCACTTCACATATATCCCTTTCACCAACCAAAAGTTGACGTTTCGTAAGGCCATGATGAACGAATTGCTTACGGGATAATGCTCTTCCAAATTGTTCTAGGAGAGTATGCATCATTATTATTTCTCCAAAAAAGGATATGAGAGATTTTTGAGCTAATACATGAAGACCTTGCCTCACATCCAAGAACTTTCCAAGAAGCTCTTTCACTTTCTTGGTCGATTTAAAGTTGAAAAGGCAGGCTATATAAAGAAATAGATATTTATCTTCGTCACATAAGGCATCGTAACTGAACTGTATAATGCTCCCTATTTTTCCGTCGAGGCTAGCTTTTAACCTTGGTAGTGCCCTTTCCCACTCTGGCTTGGACATCCCCCGCAGAGCGGAGCCTAGAACCTTCAATCCTAAAGGGAGTTTACCAGCTAGAGCCATAACTTGCCTAGCAAGCTTACAGAAACCTTCATGTGGTTGGTTCTGACCAAAGGCATTCATGCAGAAGATTTGAAAAGCCTCATCATTTGATGGAAAATCCACTTTATAAACTTGACTGATCCCATGGGCCTTCAAAACTCCAAGATCTTCTGTTGTGATAATAATCCGACTTCCAGGACCAAACCATTGAATTTCTTTCGCCAAGGCATCTAACTGTCCTAAGTGGTCCACTTCATCGAGAACGAGAATCACTTTCTTGTCTTTCAAACGTTCTTGTGCCACTCCCAAATGAGAAATCATGATATCTTTATGATTGAAAATCTGAGACAACATTTGTTTTTGTAGTTTCAATTGTGCATTGCGCTCATCCAAACAAAGTCTTGGATAGCATTCTCTGATATCCACCATGATTGCAGCAAATGGGAATCTGCTGGAGAATCGGTCAAACATACATGTAGCGATGGTCGTCTTACCAATCCCAGGCGGACCCCAAATCCCAATCATCCTTACTTCATCCAAATCTAGGCTTAAATACTTTTCCATCCTTTCCATATGAGCTGCTATCCCAACAAAATCATCGAAATCACTTGATGGTATGGATAAATTCAACATGTTTGAAACATCAATGGATATCTTTTCAATCATCTCCGCTTCATTGCTCCTAACATTGATTGATATCGAGTAAAATTGTTAATTAGTCTAGTCATGAACAATTCTCATATACACACATCCAAAACATATGCATTTTCTTGTCTTGATATTTATTTGAAAGCTACAAATAAACTCTAATAAGGAGAGTAGAAATCAAGAAGACTAACCAGTTGCGAGAATGCTCTCCGGCGATTGTGGCCACATCCTCCAAAGCTTTTCTCCATCTCTCAATATGCTCCTTTGTTTTACCTTTACATGTTTTCTTAAAGGCTTTTCCAAAAACTCCGGTTTGTTTCTTTATGTCAGTTGGATCAACTTCATAGAAAATGGTCATGACAATCTGACCCAACACTTCCCTGCACTTCATGATCTCCGCCAACTCATCAAGACACCACGAGGAAGAAGCATAGTTCTTGGAGAGCAAGACGATCGCAATCTTCGATCCTTTGATAGCTTCTTTAAGCTCAGGACTGATCGACTTACTCCTCTCTATATCATTGTCAATGAATGGGTCGATTCCCTTTCTTCTGAACGATTCCATGATGTGGCTAAGAAGGGTTCTTCGGACATCTGCCCCATGGAAGCTCGGGAATACATCATGTTTCCAGATTCGAGACACAGAAGTTGGAGGAGATGGAAGAGATAAAGAAGAAGCTTTAGTATCTTTGCTCTCTTGTTGGAATTTGAATTTTCTGAAAAGCATGAAGAAGCCTATAGCGGCTGCGACTAAGACCAGGAAAAAAGAAGCAGAATTCATTAGTATGGTATAGAGTGAATCAAGATCTTAGATAGATGAAGGATTAACAAAGAGGAAGAGGCTTTGTGTAAATGGATACACAACGTTGACTATATTGGCAGCCTGGTAGGGAAACTCCATGTATGTTTCCTTTACCATATATTATTGTATAAATGAAACTTAATTAATATTATTGTATAAATGAAACTTAATGAGCAACATTATTGAGGGGAATAGTTTGACCCAAAAAAAAAAAAAAAAAAACTGGAGCACGTCTTTTCCGAATATAATTATCCGTTGCCCCAAAGGTCTTGATGAGCATACATTGGTTAGGCTGATTGTAACCAACATATACAATCAAGAACACATAACCAATAAATGGGCTCAATACACTAATTGAAAACAAATAAACCATCAGCATAATCATCAAGAACCAGTCCAATCAATTCGATTCCACAGTGAGGAGTAAAACCATCAGCATAATCTCACCGTCACCGATGCATATCTCCAGAGAGTTTTGTAGTTGAAACAATTTGTGTTAATGAGACTATAGACCGTTAACGACTTTGTTTGCACAGAAATTCCATGAATGTTTCCTGGAAAATATAGTGAGATTTAGTGGAAAATGTTGCTAACGACAGAATCACTGCCCCTACATATGCTCCACCACCATTCACTGAATTTCTCGGAAGCCAAATATGATAAGGAAATATCAAACTGTCCACACATTCTTTCTCTCCTGATAATAATGATAGAACAAAAGAGTTCATATTATTCAATCGTGTAAACAGTGCCGCCCTCTATGATACATTAACATAAACAATAATATGTTCTTAAGAATATGTTCAGTTTAACAAGGTTTAAAAAAACAAATCAAAGATTCTCAGACTTTGAAATCATTAAGATGTCTATAAGTGTATGTGCAAAGCTAGCAATCTCAATAATAGTAACAATAAAAGTGGGACTCTGAACTTGCTGTATCATCAACTTTCCACAGGGATACTATCCAGCAAAGACTCACAAGCATCTTCAAGCAAGTCCAGTACCTGTCAAAGAAACAAGTAGACCAAGTAAGAGATCAAGATTCATGTTTCCAAGTGAGTTTTGTCCAAACAAAACAGTAAAATTCGGGAATGGAAGGGTTACTTGGGAGTCTTATAGACTAAATCAACCATTTTGATAGACAACCTCTTATGGTGTAAACCAAATTTAATATTTGCATACAGCTTCTTTAGTCTCTAATGGTGATTACCTTCTCAAAACCTTGAGGTCCACCATAATATGGATCAGGAACAAACTTTTCATTGTGTTTCTTGCAATAAGAACACATTAGCTTAACCTGAAAATTTCAAAGAAAGTGTTTTGAAAATCGCCTAAAAAGTGTTCCAAAGTGTTCCAAACAACAACAAACACTAACGGTACCTTCTTATCTGCATCGGGCGGGAAATTCCCTCTGTTTTTCCACACATTATAAGCCTTCAATATATCCTCTGCAAACATCAAACATTCAAATTCATATACATTTCACTTCTCCATAACTAATCGATCTAACCATACAATTCCTTAACGTTGAATAAATTACTATATGCTCTACCTTTGTTCTGGTCATCCATTGCAAGAATGAGATCAAATTCCCTGAAATCAGATGCCTTAATCGGTCTGGATAATGATGTTAACTCAATCCCACGACGTTTCGCAGCACTTCTCATTCTTGGATCCGCCATATTCCCCTTTTAAAAGAACATTTTCACAAAATCATAAACATAAATTCCAAAGTCTCCACTCTACTGCTCCTTACTCCCACCAAAAAAAAACCATAAATTCGAAATCAAGCATTTCTGCATCTGAAACCATCATGCACTAATTGTTCCAACCCTAAAAATAGATTATTATTTTTGTTCTTCCCCATTCAAAAGAGCAGTTTCACAATCAAAATTGATTCAGAGTCTCTGCTGCTCCTAACTCCGACCAAATTACATCCACCAAAAACCCTAAATTCAAAATCAAACCTTTCTACATCTGAAAGCATCGTATCATTCACTAATTGTGCAAATCAACCATCAATCTTCTTTCACAAACATAAAATTAGATTATTTATTTTGTGTTCTTCTCTTTGATTAGTATACCTCGTGATAATCAATGGTTCCAGCGGAATCGATTATGAATTTGGAATCGAGACCTCTCTTCTTCACAATATCCCTAAAGACACCTTCAGCTGCTGGACTCCGACAAATGTTTCCGAGACAGACAAAAAGAACAGAGAAAGGTTTCGTTTCGCTGCTCTGCGTCGGAGTCGTCTCCATTGAAGATGATGCAAAGCACCGAAGGGAATGAGAAATTCTGGGTTTTGCTCGAAAACACGAAACGAGATTCGGGTTTTTGTCAGATGATCGAAAATGAGAAGGAAGAAAGTGAGTGTGGTGGCAAAATGGTAAATAAGAAGGGATTGTTGGAGAAGTGGTGAGGTTGGGACAGTACATCATTCCCCTGAAAAGTTGGAGATTTGGGATATGTACGAGTTTTCTTCTTCTGCTCTTTTAACTCTTTTTCCGTAATAAGCAGAGGAATAGAGGGGTATATTTGGGAATATACATAAACAAATGTTTAATTAGGAGTAGATAGATGAGGTTTAGATTTAGAATTAGAGCACCACTTTGTTACTGTATTGTGTTGAAGGTAATGAGGAGAACATAGATGAAAAAAAAAAAATGAGGAGAACATTATGGTCGGTAATGCAACATATTTTTGTTGTATATAATTCGCAATGTTCAGGTCCTCTCAGAGTCATCCACAACTATACAAGTTATAGATGTGAATACAAGTTATGTATAGTTGGTAATACAACTATACAACTATACTCTAAGAATATGTCTTTTGGTTAGCACTTAGCATCATAGTTTTTATGATTTGTCCTGTTTTGGCCGACGATGTTTAACTTTTATGATTTGTTTGTTTCAGTTCTTATGTTGTGTTGTTATATAGCTCTGCTTCTATGACAAGTTACGTCTCATGTTTCAGTACTTTGTTGATGGATAAATGCGTTACTTGTTGGCCCAATTGTACATTTGTCGAATATTACACTTACACAAATGGTCTTTAAAGTTTTCTTATGAAGAGTGAAAACGATAAACTCATGCCCAAGGTTTTCAACAGATAGCCCATTTCAAAAAGTTTAACAAATTTTTTTTTTTTGTCAACAAGTTTAACAAATTTATTACCCGAAAAACAGTAGTAACCACAATTAGGCGGGCAGGTCAGCATAGTCTCATGTAGGCAACCTACATGACCACGGTTGACAACAGTTACAGTTTTTTTTTTTTTTTCACAAAAGTGGTATCATTTTATATCAACTGTTGTTGTAAAGTACAACTGTGGAAACTTCCACTTACCAAACAAGTCATTCTTGGAACCTTACAATGGATAATCCAAAAAAACAAAAGATCCATTGTTGACATAGAATCACATTATGTTCCAAAGTAGCTTGCATCTGAAACTTCTTTCTACTTAGCAAACCTTAGAGCATCTCCAATGGTGAGAGCCTTCCATGGGCTCTCACCATTTTTTTAAGATTAAAATTTTTAAATTTATGAGATGAGAGCTTTTGTTAATTTTGCAAAGTCTAATGGTAGGTTCTCTTTGTGGGGTTCTCAGGAAAAAATTAAATTATTTTTTTAATTATTTTATTTCATAAATCTGAAAAATATTATTGCAAAATTGAAAATAAATATATAAAAACATAGGATTTGGTGTATTGAATTTTTGAAAAGAAGGATAAAGAAGAGACAAGTGAAGTTTGGTGTTTAATTAAGTCTTGATAAACACACTTCATCAAATTTTTGTGTTTTGGTTATGTAGAGAAAAAGAAGATATGGATTCAAGTCATGGTTTTGTGGTTGATGTAATGTTTTGTGCTAGTTTGTGTGATATATAGCAATATGAAAAGAAAATAAAGAAAAATTCATCACTAATATCAAATATTTTACACACCAGAAGTAGCAAACTCGTAAAACACAAAGTTTTTCGCTACAAATGCATCACATATAAATGGAGTGTTGACAGTACAAGGGGCAATACAAATGCAAGTGGAATGTAGAAAGTGTTTTATATAGCAGAATAGCTGTAGTCAACAGTATCATCATTGGAGGAGGAAGGAAGAAGACTTAGCGGAAGCAGTGAGTACCACAAAGGTACCAAAGAGAATAGTGATAATGGCCGTGAAGTTGAGGAGAAGCAGTGAGTACCACAAAGGACCATGTTGCCATGTCAAACGATTCTTGGTGTGTGCTGCTACTTCTCCATCTTCAATGTGTAAAATTGAACAGACATATCATTGATCAGTCTTTGATTAGACAAAGCACACACATACTACACTATTGCTTTACTTTCTATAGTTTTTATGTGTGAGACCCAAAATGACAATCCCTGAAAAAAATCATCACACATAAGAGTTTTTAAGTCTAAAAGATAACCTCAACATTTCTGCAAACATAGCCAATCATCACAGATAAGAGTTTTTAATTCTTGTAACAACAACAACAATAAAGAACTCTTTAGTAGATCAGCATCATATACCTCTTGTTTCCATCAAGCACTTCTTTCACGTTTTCCGCCAGCTCATCAAAATCTTTCCGGTTAGCCTCCGGGAGTATAATCATTTTCACTTGACTCCGTCTTGCAGCTATAGTCTTCTTTTCCACCTGACAAAGAGATATTTTGTGTATTACAATGAGAGCTTAGTACAAGAAAGTGACAACAAATCTTGCAGCAAATCTTAACCACACTCACTTCGGACTAAAAGGAAAAGGAATTACCTTGCAGCATGAAACTAGATCATTACCATGCCAGTTTGATCAATGTCAATGAATAAGCCATAGGGCTCCACACGTTTGATTCTCCCAATAATCATATCTCCAACATGGAATTTCTTTAAGTCATATGATTCAGATTTTGGCTGCCCACCAGCATTTACTGTCTTCAAAGTTTGAAATTAACATAAGTTCTACCATAAGGAAAGTAATAGGTTGCAAAGTCATGGTAAGAGTTGGCATTACGTTCTCCTGCAATAGAAGCCATCATTATAAACATGAAAAAGCAAGCCTTTGCCTGCAAACCTTGCAAGTTTCAGTATAAAGATGACTTCTCCAAGACTTCATACATCTTCAAATTGAAATCAAACCGAACTTCCTTCCATCCTTGACTACCATTTAAAACATATTCCAAAGAACTCTAATTACTTCATTGGTCTCTGTTCCTTAAATTGCAAGCCATAAAACAATTGCTCAGCCAAGAACTAATGAGTTTCAAACCAAGAACTAAGCCATCGAGAACATCTCAAGTAACAAGAAAGAGAGATCCTTAACAACGAAATTTCTACCAAAAATACAAATTTGAAATCAATTCATTAGAAAGGATTCCGGAAATCGATAACGTATCAGAAACGAAAATCTCTGATCTATAATGTTTCCGACCTTAATTAATCCACCTGCGGCCTCTCCATCTTCCCTCAATCGTCGCCGGCGGCCTTAATCGTAACCTCAATCGTCGGAGAAAAGGCATCGCCATCTCCTTCGCAAAGAAACAGAGAGAAGAGTCGGGAAATGATATATTTCGGCTACTCTCATTCTTTTTTTTTTACGCGTTTTTTTTTTTTTTGGATCAAAAACAATCGACGGCTGAGAGAAGGCCACGTCGTCGGCTCTCATGGTACTCAAGATTTTTCTCAAGAGAGACAGCTCTCTTCTTAATTCACAGTTTTGATTTATTTTTCAAAAAAAAAATTCAAGAGAACCTACAAAGAGAACCTGATAATGCATCCATTGGAGATGCTCTTAGATCTGTTCCTTCTCTCAAAGAGCTTCATCGAACAAATCTTTTTATTCAAACCCTTTTGACTGCCCTAAACGATTAAGCAGCATCGCCAAAAAGTGATGACAGAATCAGTAGAGTGATTTAACGTTTTTTTGGAGGCTTCAGAATTCCTCCTTGTTGAAGCTCAGATCCTTTTTGCTTCTGGTTCACATTCTCATCTTCTTGTTTGTCAGTTTGACCTTGTTTACGTTTTGAAGAATCCTCCTGCTGAGAAGCTTCACCACTGTTAACTCTCCTTGAACATTCACCTGTTTCAAATCTCCGTGTTTCTGTTGGTGTAACCTCCTGTACCTCCGCAGAATTAGAGTTAGAACTTGAAGAAGCTTGATGTCTTCTGACTGCATTTTGTGGATAGGGCACAGTATACTGGTGGAGATTAGCTATCCTTGAAGAGGATAGATACCTTCTAGCATCCATAGTTTCTGCAGGATTCAAAGGTGGTGTAGCAACTCTTGGAGGGATTGATCTAGGTGCAGGGAAGGAATAATCTGAATTTTGAGATTGAGAGTTCATGTTTGACCTCTGCTGCTCATCATTAAGAACCCTTCTTTCCCTTCCCGCAAACATATGATCAATATCCTCAACTCTTCTTTCATGTAGAGGCTGACCATAGGGACACTGACTTCTTTGATGATTAAATCTCAAACAGTTGGTACAAATTCTCTTGAGACGTTCATATTGGAATCTGATTACAACTGATTCACCTGCATCAAAGCGAATCCTTTGAAAGAACCTTAACCTATCTGAGATTCCAAACCTAACTCTAACTCGAATATAGGCTATCTGATTGGTAGTGATCTCATTAAAGTCCATGTGAACTATCTCCCCAAGATCTTGAAAAATTTCTGACACTGTTTCTACACACACATAATGCAAAGGGATTCCTCTTATTTGAACCCATAGATCTATTGTTGTCCGAAAGTTTAAACCAGGGAAATCCACCCATCTCCGAACAGCTATAAACCAGTTATTAAACAACCAAGGCTCTCTTCGTTGAGCAGAAACAAGATCCAATTCAGATTGAAACAAGAACTGAACATACGTACCATCTAGAACTCTGCCCTGAACAGAGGAAGTTAGGCCCCAAGTTCTTGGTAGTGAAGAGATAACCGTGAAAAGGTTTTGAGATCTTGGATTCAGAGGTCGAGCTATAAGACTTAGCCTGTTACGAGCTTCTGTGGCTGCATAAGCCTCATGTGGAATGAACAATTCCGCATCATTTCTTCCCAAGTCAAGGTGTTGTATGTTATTCCACAGTTCATCTGCCATGACAACAGTTACAGTTATAACGGTTACGGTTGATTAATCATCGGTTAAGATTATTAATTTTTTTTAACTGTAACTTTAACCACTATATATATACGGTTAAAACGGTTACGGTTAAATACAATTATAACGGTTACGCCGTTACGGTTAAATACAGTTATAAATATTTGATGATTACAATATGGTTAATATCGGAGGCAAAATCTTACAAGTTATCTAATTCTTTATACTATTTTTAATAAAATGAAAATGTGTGTTATAAACCAAATTTTCTTCATTTTGATCAATATAACATTACAACATATTTATTTGAGAAAAAAACTTCTTTTCTAATGTAGATTTTTTATATGCAGTATCATTTATTTTTTGAAAATCTTTATCTGAACATTCGATATTTGTTTTTGCATTATACACAGTTACAATTATATTTTAAAGGTTTTAACTATACAGTTAATAGTGCAAATTAACTGTACGGTTAACCGTATGGTTAATTGTATGGTAAACTAACGGTTTTGATAACTTTACGGTTAATTAACGGTTACGATTAGAATAATTTTTAACCGTAACCAATCTATTTTTACAGTTAACGGTTACAGTTTTTAACCGTTATATACAGTTATGGTCCGGTTACGGTTGAGAAACGGTCTGGTTACGGTTACAGTAAGATTTTAGTCATGCCTCTCATGATGATTATTTTTAATTCGGATATATACTTACAAACCTCATTTAAAAGATTTGTTTTGAATGTTCTAAGTTATCAATTTATTTGAATCTCTTACACTTGTATTTTTTCGGTCTGACTAGAAAACTTTCGGTTTGAGACGAATGTTACAAATTGGTATCAGGATTCAAGGCCGGACTCAACAAAATCGGTTTCGACCCGAGCAATTAGTCTTTCTTTTTCTTTTCTGGTGTAGTCCGGAGAAACATTATCCTCCTGTAATTTATTCATAATTTAAAAGAAAATTAAATTTGAGTATGCTTTAGAAACGCAGTTCCGCGTGTTGGGAATGTCCTGAAATCTTTTGTACTTTACTCTAATTGAAGTTGTAATGTCGAGGTTTGACATTCGTGTAATATTAGGTGATTATAATGTTTTGCTAGAGACCGCTTATAATCTATGAGTCTAAGACTTATTGCTAATATTATACGAACCTACAGGGTCACACACCTAAGCAAATTGGATCAAAGTATAATTGAGTTTAATTTGGATTAAATCAATGTTGGGATTATAATATAATATATATGTTATATGAGATATACATATATGTTTATATTTGTGCATTTATAATAAAGTGTTTATTATATAATATATATATGTGATATATGATAGACATATATATGTGCACGTAGAATACTAAATAAAGGTAGTTAGGCTTCAGCCCATTACTAAACCTAAAGTAATTAGGTTAAACGTAGTAATCATATATATAGATATGTGTGTTACGTTTGACAGTAAGTATTCTTGTTGAACCCTAAAGATACAAGGGACAAAGAGTTTGTCTAAGTTTTGAGATTAGATCTCAACAGTACTAGCATACTACGTGAGATCCAGTTTGTGTGCGTGTGGATACCAGTAGAGGCACAACACTTGGGGTGCTAAAATAACCTCGAATTAATATGGTTCATATTTCCGCTGCAGAATATCCAGGTATATTCAAACCCTATGGTCTAGATTTAATTCTTTATTTGCACGGTTCCTGGCAATTGAATTCGTTATTAGTATTTATAAATCGTTATAAACCGGTACGAATTCCTACACCGCGGTCATCTTCCCTTACAATCGTCTCAACAACAGTTGGAACAGACTCCAACAAATGAAATCCTCCCTTACAATCTTCTCAACCCGAGTAATTTGTCTTTCAATGATATGGTTTCAAAGGTTATAGCAAAACGTTTCTTTTTGCGAAGAATGAGGCAGAGCGACCACTAACCCGAGGTTTGTGCAATAGAGATTTGAGTTCACAATACAAATTGTACGCCAATGACACCATCCTTGTCCTTGGTGCCTTGGTGACATGATATTCAAAAGACAGTGATTAGATATTTATTTATAATTATATCATACGAATAAAATACTAATAATCACAACTGAAATAGAACAAACACAAAATATGTTTATGTCATTATCTTAATTCCGTAGGGGCCTAGATTATATGTCTCTTTGTTTCTCTCTTTTGAAACAAATACAATAACAAAGATCTTAAAAAATCATGAAGAGATCCAAAAATCCTCTCAAATAATTCCCTAATTATTGTCTACTTACATAAATAAAACATATCAATATAGAATACTGTATCATCTCCTTAACCATCGAAATATTAGCAAATACGTTAAATTACGAAACGCGTCATATCTAAACCCTTAAATTACAACTTTGCCATCATCTCTCTAATCTTCTTTTGATTCTATTTTTTCTCATCCCCAAAAAGGCAAAATCTCACAGTTACTTCTTTCTCTCTCTCTCTCTCTTTCTCTTCTTCTTCTTCTCTCTCTCTCTCTCTCGTCGTCACTCATTGGCTCTGTGTAGATCGGAAAATGGAGCCATGGATTGACGAATTAGCCGACGATTTACAGAGTATAAGCTTTACATCAGCCGGAACCACCGTGAATCGAAGCACTAGCTCCGGTTCTCGCTCTTCTTCCTCCGCCGCAGCTTTAACACCAGCACCATCAGCTCACGGTTCATTCTCATCTTCAAAACTCCCTCCTTCACTCCGATCATCACTCTCACTCTCCGATCTCAGATTCCGTCTCCGTCTCGGTTCCGGCGACATCGGTTCTGTTTTCTTAGCCGAATTCAAATCCCTAACCGCCGTAACGGAAACCACCGCCGTGAAATTACCTCTGTTAGCAGCGAAAGTTATGGATAAAAAGGAACTCGCGAGCAGAAGCAAAGAAGGAAGAGCTAAGACGGAGAGAGAGATTCTCGAATCTCTTGATCATCCGTTTCTTCCGACGCTTTACGCCGCCATTGATTCGCCGAAATGGCTCTGTTTGTTAACGGAGTTTTGTCCCGGCGGTGACCTTCATGTTCTCCGTCAAAAACAGAATTATAAACGTTTCCATGAATCCGCCGTCAGGTAACAGTTTCCGTTAAGTAATTAATTTTAAAATATTCAGTTTCTAAAAATATATTTTTGAAAAAAAATCTATTGGGAAGTAATTATTATGAAGAAGTGAATATTATAAAAAGCTGATGAAATCAGGGGAAGTGGGACTCGCCAGCTGGCGAATTGTCTCGTAGTTAACACTTAAACACACATAACTGAATTTATGGCACCGTTGATTAATCACTACTACTAGATTATTGCCTTTTTAACGGTAATTATATCGTAATTATAATATAAAGTGAAAAATCACACAATCTAGATTTAATTCCCGTAGTTTCGTCAGAAATTTTGGCAGTTTTCACTAATTAACTTATAAATATTGGTAATGAATTTTCCAGATTTGTTATTGAAATATGTTTTTATTGATTGATGTGCTCGATAATGCTTTTTTTAATAAACTAGGAAAAGTCTATTTACGCCACACAAAAAGGGACTAGAAAGTGTATTTTAATTTTTAATTAAAAACCAGTGGCGATTTATTTATAATATAGTTTTAACGGCAATTTATGCACTAATTATATCATAGACCCGTTAAGTTTGTTACTTGTAATAATAATCCTAGTGAAAATCACACACAATCGAGGTTTAATTTCCGTAATTTCGTCAGAAATGTTGACATTTTTCACTAAACGTTAACTTATATATTTGTCATGAATTTTCCTGTTATTGGAATATGTTTTTATTGATTGATGTGCTCTATAAATTATAATGCCTTTTTTTATAAACTAGGAAAAGTCTATTTACGCTACACAAAAAAGGGATGTATAATATATAGTTTTTTTTTAATTTTATTTTAGTAAGCAGATGTATGCACGATTAGCAAAGTGTGTGCACCTTACTTACATGTGTGCGTAAATCGTAGGCCATAACGTTTAATAAAAAGTCAAAACGAGTGGGGTTTGACTTTGAAGTAAGAACAAATCACTTAAAGACACGTGTAAGTTTTGTAGTGGTACTCGCGTGATTGAATTAAATCACGTAGCATGCAATTGAAGTTGAAATTTTAATATTTTTTTGTAATCGGGCATGTGGTTACAATACAAACAACATCCCAGCTAAGCTTGTTCTTCGTAACAATATTTACAATACTGCCATTCCCTTTTAAAACCGGTGGTTATTAAATATTTAAAATATATTCTGTTTTGTCTAATGATCTTAATGGGGTTGGTCCTACAATTAGGACGAATTTTTTTTGGAAAATTATGAAATTTATTAACCTGTTTTGAAAAGTAGCTGTGGCTTAGAATAGAAGTAGATGGAAGTTATCATTGTTAGTTGAGTTAGCCACTTTTATAACCATTTATGGACCAATTTGTATCACGTGGTAATACTTGAAAACCGGATCTTGTTGTTCTTGGTAGATGTTAGATCTGATTTATTTTGTGTTCTTAAGTTATTGTCATATGACAAAGTAGTAGTGGTTTACACGTTAAAGATCGTACAAGTGAAGTCAAGGTCATTACCAGTTCAGCATTTTGTTTTAATTCTTGTGACTTGAAATTTTTGTGTGCATGGATATGTGTGTTTACTGTTTAGTTACACTTACAACTAAATTCTTATGTATAGGACTTTTTACTTCTTTTTTGTAATTGAGTTTTATAAGGTTTCTTCTTTATTATTAAAGTAAAATGATTTAGAATTGGGACCAAAACATGTAGTCCAATCTTTTATCATGATTGTAGGGATTCCTTAATACTTAATAGATATCTATTTTTTTTAAGGTTGTCCTACAAAAAAATCAAGGTCCCATTTCTCTCCACGTAGCTGCATTTTTCATTTTCCTTCGAAGGAAAAATAACCCTTTGAACTCGGTTTCTCTTTAAATGATATAAAGAACAATGGCTCTATGGAAATGCATATGTGAACGGATTAAGATTTGGGTTTATCTTTTGTGTGAACTTGTTCTTAGAATTCGCCTGTTGTACAGTTTTTACTCTGTTTTGTGTGGAGTATGTTTGTTGATTGTGGACCCGTGAAGACAAAAAGGGTCAGCTAGAGGAATCTTGGATAATTTCTTAGCACCAGAACTCTCATTTAGACAAAAGAGTTCGTTAAGCCAACCAACCTTTGTAGGTCCTCTTTTGTTCCTTATGTGTAGTGACATCAAACCCAAAACATCATCTTCTTGTCTCCAAATCCAAACAATTGCTGTTTTGTCACAATACCTAAAATTGTAAACCAAAGATTCCAAACAAACTCTTGTTAAATTATTGCATATCTTAATTATTCGATTTGTCCTCACTACCATGTTTTCTTCTCTTTGTCCCTTCTTTTCAGATTACTAATCAACATCTCTTTACTATTTTCTAGATTCTATGTATCGGAAGTGATCGTGGCGATTGAATATCTTCACATGTTGGGGATTGTTTACCGCGATTTGAAGCCCGAGAACGTGCTGGTTCGATCAGATGGTCATATCATGCTAACCGATTTTGATCTCTCTTTAAAATGTGATGAATCGACTTCTACACCACAGATAGTGCTGAACCGAAACAACCTTCCTAACGGCTCGTCTGACCAGAATGAGAACCAAGGCATGGACCACCATCAAACCACATCGTCCTCTTGCATGATCCCTAACTGTATTGTCCCTGCTGTCTCTTGCTTCCACCCGAGAATCCGAAGGCGCAAGAAGAAAACCGATCACCGTAACAACGGTCCTGAGCTTGTGGCTGAACCTGTGGACGTCCGGTCCATGTCCTTCGTTGGGACACATGAATACTTGGCTCCTGAGATTGTTTCAGGTATTCTTCAAAGCTTCCTCATTCTCCTTTCCTCTGTTTTTTATGTCAAACGTTTTGATTCTTAGGAAAGTTTATATTATTCTCAAAAACAAAAGAAATAAAAAGCATTTTCTTGCAACTTTCCGATGTGGTATCCTAACATGGAATGTGAACTGTGGATTGCAGGAGAAGGGCACGGTAGTGCGGTCGACTGGTGGACATTAGGGATATTCATGTTCGAGCTGTTCTACGGAACAACGCCGTTCAAAGGAATGGACCACGAGCTAACCCTTGCCAACATCGTGGCTCGAGCCCTCGAATTTCCGAAAGAACCAACTATTCCAAGCGCGGCCAAGGATCTGATCTCTCAGCTACTGGCCAAGGATCCTAGCCGACGGTTAGGGTCATCTCTGGGTGCAACGGCCGTGAAACGCCATCCATTTTTCCAAGGAGTGAATTGGGCATTGCTCATGTGTACTCGTCCTCCTTTTCTTCCTCCGCCTTTTCGCAAAGAACTTTTATCCGATGACATTTGTCCGGAAACCCATGTCGACTATTATTAATATCTTAATTAGTACTACGTAATTAATTAATTTTCTTCAGATATAATTATTTCTAAGAAACAAACGCAGCCTAATACTAGTACGTAGTTGCATTTCATGAAATAAAAACTTAGTTCATATGCTAAAGATGTTTTTTGTCAATTACAAAAGTTTCATATCTGTCGTAGTAATTTTGACACCCAAATGAAAACTAAGACATGTAACACAGTTAGTGTGTCAATCATTAAATTAAAACAAGTATACTCCCTTCGTTTTATTATAAGTGTTGTTTATGATTGTTTCACATATATTAAAAAATAATAATTCAATTTTCTATTTTACCCTATATTAGCATATTATATAATTTTTTTATTGGTCAGTACAATCAATAGAAAATTCTACCAAACATTTAATTGAAAATACGAAACGATATTTATACTGAAACAAAATTTAAAGGCTTAAACGATAACGTCTGATTGGTAAATTTTGGAGTAATATGGAAGTAAAGAAAAAAAAATGAGAAAAATGGAAAGAGCAATGAAAAAAACTAGCGCAAATATTACTCTCACAAAACTAGAGTAAAACATTTGTACGTTATCTCTCTATTCCAAACAATATCTAGCGAGAAAAACTAAAATATTCATTTTCTCTTTTCTTCTAATTGGTAATTTTTGAGCAGTATTTAAATGATTTTATTTCAGCTAAGTGTGCTATCTAGTCTCACCTTAATAAAAAAAACGTAGGAAATAATATATAGAGAATTGTTTGGAAAAAAAAACAAAGTTTGATACCAAAACAAAAAAGTTAAGTTTTCCAAAACCTATAATTATAGAAAATAAAAGAAAAACCTATAATTCTTTCAGCAGAGAGAAGAGCTATACATTGGGTTTTGATTCGGTTCCTCTCCACATGATAATAAGGCATTTGTGCGTGGATCTCTTAGCTCCTAGTTCAGATTTTTTTTCTTTTAGATTCTCATGGTTCCTAGTCTTTTCACTCATTGGAGGTCTCTAGGTTCGTTTTTTAAGGTTTAGCTTATCGTTTGTATCCTTGGTTGTTTGGTAGCTTCCCTCTTTTGGGCTCTTGTCTTCGGGGATATTATCATTTTCCGCCGACTTATCTTACCGGGGATATTAACTCTTTCCGCCGGTCGTTATATCTTTCAAAGTTTTATCAATATTATTCAGACGAAAAAAAAAAAGATATATTATGTCAGCTACTCAGCTACAAGAAAAATCTCAAAACAAACAAGAAACAAAAAACCAAAACTAATGCAAATCAAAAACCCAAATGCAATTGGACTTGGCCACACACAAAAAAAAAAAAAAAGATAAAAAGAAAATACACGACTAGACTCAATATGCATTTCAGTCATTTATTGTGTACTGAGATTTTGGTACAACTAAATGAGTTCCACATTTATGTATTATACTGTATGCGCTTTCCTCAGAAAAATTATTCATGTCTTTATGATATTACTGCCATTTTTATTTCGGACAAGCAAATTTTTTAAATTATTTCCAAAAGATTTGGACAGATAAATGACGTAATTGAATGAAGACCCACGTGCCCTCATTCATGACATAGAAGTAACTTCACGTGCATGGCTTTATTGTAATTGTACTTTTGGCTTATCCTAAAACTGTACAAGCCAATCATTGATTCTACACCAATTCGACCGTCATGGGTAGGCCTAGTCATGGGTTCACTCGTGTTCATAGTAGCTGCCTGTTTCGGACAAGTGAGAAGAAAAATATTCAAATAAAAGACTTCTACAAAGATAAACACAATTTACCAAATTTTCTAATCTAAAACCTCCAATTATTTGGATTTAAATATTACTCCCTCCGTTTCATAATATAAGACGTTTTGGAAAAAGTTTTTTGTTTCATAATATAAGTCGTTTTCGAGTTTCAATGCAAATTATATATTACTTTAATATTTTATGATTATTTATATTATGCAGTCTCTTTTATGATTGGTTAAACTTTTAAAAAGTAGATCTTCTTAATCGGCGTGCTTCTACCTTAAACGACTTATATTATGAAACGGAGGGAGTATGTTTTTAATTTAACAAAAAGTATAAAACGACCATTTGTTAGATTAGTGGTAACCTATGTTCAAAAATTACTAAACGTTAGTCGGGCGGTAAGAGTAAGAGTGGACCTAGCACTTAGCAAAAAAAATCGGAGATTAGGAGATTAATCAGAAATTAGTTTTAGGGCTATCTAATGTTTTAAAAACATATTAATCCATTATAATTAAGAAATTTATATAATATTGTTTTTAAAATTGCATTAAACACATGAACACAAGATTTTTAGCTCAAAATTATGATTTTTATACAAATTACGAACATAAGTAGGACGTTTTGAACTTTAGATCTAAAAAAAAAAAAGTAAAAAAAATTGGGCTAAACGTCATCTAGGCGGTTTAGGTGGAAAAAAAATCGGACCAGCTATTTTTTTATCGATTTGGATAAAATCGATGCGGCTTCCATCCAGTTAGCACCTAGACGGCCGATTTTTAAAACATAGGTGGTAACTGATGCAATGCAATACCACGAAATATCTACTTCTTCCGCTCTTTGTTGAGGTCACCAAGAACTTGAAGCCAATAATGATCCAATATTGTCCAAAGCTACACCTAACCCTGCTTTTGTGTACCTAGAACTTCGAGAACATTTTCAAAGAAAAAGTTCCATGTATAGCGAACACATTGTAGTTAGACATAATGAATTTATAGGAGTCCCTGCTTCCAAATTAAAATTTTGTTAAAATAAATAATATACATATTAACATGTATTATCAAAAAATTGGTTCCCCATTAATGTAGATGAGGCCAAATGATGTTAAAAGAAAATGAGAAAAATCGATATAGTTGTTTTTTTTTAATGATAATTTAATTAAAGTCAACGTTATCACAACATGATCGGTCGGTTCCATTCCATAAACACGTAGCAAACATGAAAACAGAAACAAACAAAAAGGCAACAGTATATGAAAGCTGGATTTATCATAGAACACTTTTTCCTTGTATCAATCTACATTACATTTAACGTTTAACCGATTAAATTGATTGGGCTGGATTTTGATTTCGGACTTTCTATGAATAGTTCATAAAAAACACCTAAAAGAAAATGTTTTTTTTTTTTTTTTTATTAAAGGTTTTCTTATATAAATAAATAAAAGTATACAAAGAAGCAACATATAACCATTACAAGTAAAAATAAAAAGAAAATTAAAAACTAGAAATAAGAGGACGACAGATCCAAACAAAGGAAGTTTGAATAAGGGAAGGAGAAACGGTGCCTAATCTATGTGGCAGCTTTAAGGAATCCAGCATTGTAGAATTGAGATTCCACGTTTGAAACCTAGATGAAGCATTGCGTTACACTTATTTTCCAGGGTGAAAATAATGTGCCTTGCTACTTGAACCGGAGAGAGGGAAAGACCGTCATGGAAGCGTCGATTTCTCTCTCGCCACAATTCATAGATCGCACCCTGCCAGCCTTGAAGGAGAGCTAGTCTTTTGTGCTTAGATACTGAAGTTGTTGACAACCAAATGAGGACTTGATCCCATAAAAGCGGAGGAGATGAGATCTGAAGACGTTGTGTTATGAATCTCCAAACCTCAGTAGAGAAGACGCATTAAAAAAAAAGATGGTTTCGAGATTCATGTGCTAAGCCACAAAGGAGACAATCTAACTCAACATCATAGCCCCAAGTAGACAGACGATCAAGAGTAGGGCTACGATTGAGTAAAAACAACCATGAGGTTAGGGCATGTCTAGGGATGGTAGCCTTGTGCCACACAAGAGGAGCCCAAAAGTTTTCTGGTTTTGAAATTCTAACAGCATTCCACACAGCTTTTGAAGAGAAATACCTATAAGGAATACCATCAATTGCCCAAACGGGAGTATCAGATGAAGAAGACATGGTAATAGTAGAGATGAACGAGAGGAGAAGAACTTATCTCTCTGTTCTAGCATTAGGGAGAGACCACCCATCATTAATTCTCAATTCAGCCACAGTTGAAAACAGAGGGATCCCGAGATGAGTAGGGCCATCTGAACCAAGAAAATGGTAAAGAGAACCAAAAGGAGTCCATGGATCCCACCAGAAAAAGGTTGAATCACCATTTCCAATATTGATGCTGAAAAACTTAAGAGCTTTGTGGCGTAGCTTAAGTAACTTTCTAAAAATCCAAGAGTAGGCAACATTGTTTTCATTAAGCGCCCATAAAGGACTTTGGTTATAAACTTTAATTTTTCTCGAAAACAAAAAATTTCTCTTTCTTCCCGAAAGTGCTTTCTTCGACGCTGCAACCTAGCCACCGCCAAGCTTCTTCTCTCCGATGACTGAGGCTTCGTCGCCTCCTCCTCCTCCGATTCCACCCGATCCGAATCTGCCTCTCCCCAGTTCCATTTCACCGGCTCAATTTTCTTTTCCTCTCGATGTGGTGATGTCTGATCTGCCTTTTTCTTCCCTTCCATCTCCGGCAAATCTGACGAATCATACTATTCCCTCCGAGAAAGGTGTACTCGGAGCGGCTCCTTCTTCGATTAGGGATAGTTCTCCTGTTCCTATCTCTGTTTCTACTGGGAACTCTTATAATCCAGCTTCTATGCCTAGCGTCTCTGATTCTGGTTTTAATTGGACCAAAAATCTTACTTCTTCAGGTAAGCTCCCTATTTCCTCTGCTCCGGTTTCGATTTCTGCTGCGGGTCGGCCTCGTGTCATGGTTCCAAATGTTGTGTTTGAGAGAGGAGCTAAGCTTCATGAGGATTTCATTGTGGGCATCTTCTATGGGAAACCTCCATCTTATGGAAAGATTTGGGGAGTTCTGAATTTTCTGTGGGGAAAAGATAAACGTGTGACGGTCCATAATTTGACCAAAAATGCTTTTCTCTTCTATATTTCATCTCCGACACTTAGGCAACGGGTCTTGCAACACGAATTATGGCATGTTGGTTCTTCTCCGTTTTTTGTCACGGCATGGAAGTCAGAATTTAGCTACAACCCTCCCTCATTAGAAAGAGCTCCGGTTTGGACTTCTATAAAAGATATTCCCTTTGATCTAATCACTCCAGAAGGTCTAAGTATCATTTGTAGGCCGTTGGGAAGAGCGGTAGACCACAAGCCTTTCACTAGTATCAATTCGGCTGAGGTAAAGGTTATTGTTGATCTTACGAAACCTCTTCCACCTGTGTTGGAGCTTGAGCGAGAGGATGGTCAAGTCTTGCTTCTGCAAGTCACTTACCCTTGGTTACCTCCTCTTTGTCCTCTTTGTAGTGAGATTGGGCATAAGGCATCTCTTTGTCCTACTGCTCCTCAATCTGAGTTGCATTCTTCGATGTTAGGCAAAGAGAAGCAGTCTTCCAAAGGACCAGCAGAGAAATTTTCCTCGACATCTCGTGTTGACAAAACGCAGGTTTGGAAACCAGTTCCTCGTGGTAAGGCTTTAGGTGATACAAACATTTCAGTTGGTCTTCAAGCTTCTTTGGTTCCTGTTAAAGAAGTTCCTGCTGCTTCCTCTAAAGAATTCCTCTCTCCTTCAGAGGTAAAATCACCTATAGAGTTAAAGATAAAATCATCATCAGGGTTATCTACTCCTCTTAGTGACCACAGCCAAATCTCTATCTCTAGTCCTGGATCCTCACCTCTATTACCCAACATCATTTCTGCTGACTCGGATGTAGCTCAGACCAATTATGTTCAGTCTTTTGAATTGGTCACTAATACTACCCTCGCTCCAGCATTAATCTCGGCTGATCTTCCTCCTACTACAACATCAAACCGTTTCGATATGCTATCAATGGAAGAAGATGCTAGTGTTTTGGTTGATGAGACTTCTTCTCTAGTTCTCTATGGTTCTTCTCCCTCTTCATCATCTTCTTCCACAGGGATGAAAACAAAAAGAAAGAGGTATGACCTTCTATCCCCTGCTCAAGGTGGTGCTCTCTCCATACAAGGAGGGAAGCGTCATACCCAATAATCTGTTTATATGTCGGATATATTTTTTTGGAATGTGCGAGGTCTTAACGAAACGTCAAAGCATCGACCTCTTTGCAACTGGCTTCGTTTTCATCATGTTAGTTTTGGAGCCCTTTTGGAGTTGCATGTTCAAGAAGCAAATAAGAACCATATTTTGTCTTCTATTGGTCCGGAGTAGACCCTTTTGTCTAATTATCAGTTCTCTGACTTGGGAAAGATATGGATCATTTACAAAGCACCTATTAGAGCACGTGTTCTTTTTATGGATCTTCAGTCAGTTACTTGTGAGATTTTGTTGGAGGATGGCACTGATTTCATATATACTGCGGTTTATGCTTCGAACGAAGAGAATGACAGGAAAAATCTTTGGAGCTCTCTTCGCGATTTAGCATCGACTTTTGGTTTATCAAACAAGCCATGGATGATCAATGGGGATTTTAATGAGATCCTTAGTCCAAGTGAAACCTCAAATGTTCATATTGTGAGCTCTACAAGAGGAATGAGAATGTTTGGGGATTGTTTAGCCAATTTAGGCCTCTTTGATCTTTCTTTTAGTGGTCCTAAATTTACTTGGACAAATAAAAGATATGTTGATCCTATTGGGAAGAAATTGGATAGATGCTTGGTGAATGGGTGTTGGCTGCTTCGGTTCCCAAGTAGTCATTGTACCTTTGAGGCCCCTGAGTTTTCAGATCATACACCTTGTCATATAAAGCTTGTCACGCCTCCTCCTTCATATGGTACCAGGCCGTTTAAGTTTTTCACCCTGTTAACAAAACATCCAGAGTTTTTTGATTCAGTGTTGGCAGCTTGGCTTCAGATTGGAGTCTTTGTCTCCACTCTTAAAGACTTTGGTTTCAAGCTGAAGCAGATGAAAGGTCCTATTAAGGATTTGATGAAGAAAAATTTTAGTGACCTAGAGTTGAGAGTTGTTGAGGCACACTCTAAGCTTAATGCCCTTCAACTGTTAGCTTTGAATGACCCGTCTCCTTTAAATCTTCAGAATGAATTGTTAGCAAAGAAGATGTGGACGCTTCTTAGTCTTGCGGAGGAGAGTTTTTTCAAACAGAAGTCTCGTCTCAAGTGGTTGGGTGAGGGTGATTCTAACACTTCTTTTTTCCATAAGGTTTCTATGGCTAGGAATGCAGGGAACGCCATAAAGATTCTGTTGAAACCAGATGGTTCTTTCACTTCATCTCTCCAGGAAGTTCATGAACTAGCTGTGGATTACTTTACTGGGATTTTGTGCACAATTAAGGGCAGGTTTTGTCCTCATTTGCCTGAGTTCCTTAACTGTTTAATCCCGATAACTTGTACGTTTGAGCAACAATCTTCAATGTCCGCTCATTTCTCTGATGAAGCAATCAAGACCTGTCTTTTCAAAATGCCTCTTAATAAAACTGCGGGTCCGGATGGTTTTCCAGCTGAGTTTTTTAAGGCCACTTGGGCTATTATTGGGCAGGAATTAACAATGGGTGTTCAACACTTCTTTCAGGCTTCTTTTCTGCCATCGGCCTTAAACTCCACATCTCTTGTCCTCATTCCAAAAAGACCAGGGGCTCTTGAATTGAAGGATTTTCGTCCTATCTCTTGTCTTAACACGGTTTACAAGATCATATCTCGCTTGTTATTAGACAGGTTAAAGATTATTCTTCCCGACCTCATACTTCCAAATCAAACCGCATTTGTTAAAGGTCGACTGTTAATGGAGAATGTGCTTTTAGCTTCTGAGGTGATGCAAGGATATCATCTTGATTCAGGAAAGGAGAGAATCACTCTCAAAATAGACATATCCAAAGCCTTTGATTCAATCAAATGGGATTTTATTCTCAGCTCTCTTCGGGCTTAGAAGGTTCCTCTTATTTTCATTAATTGGATCAGAGCTTGTGTTTGTTCTCCATCTTTCAGTGTTAGTATAAATGGGGTTACTTCCGGTTTCTTCAAAGGAAAGACTGGTTTACGGCAGGGAGACCCATTATCTCCAATTTTGTTTGTCATGGTAATGAATGTGTAATCTCTGATGTTGAATAAGGCAGCAGAAGAAGGTTCTTTTAAGTATCATCCTGGTTGCGAGGATCTTAAACTTACTCATCTTTGTTTTGCTGATGATTTATTGATCTTCTTAGAAGGTTCTGAGCATTCTTTGAAAGGAGTTATGTCAGTCCTTGCACCATTTGAGGAAATGTCTGGGTTGGGTATGAATATTGAGAAGACCTCAATGTTTTGCTCTGGTTTAAGTGAGAGTAGCTTGCTCCACCTTAGCAACATATTCCATCTGAAGCATGTCTCACTTCCCATCAGGTACTTGGGTCTCCCATTATGCTCCAAGAAGCTTTCAGTCAGAGATTGTGATCCTTTGCTGTCTCAAATAAGAAAGAAATTAAATTCTTGGACTCACAAGTTTCTGAGTTTGGCGGGAAGGTTAACACTTATCTCCGCTTCTATCTCGGGCATTATAGGTTTTTGGACTAGTGCTTTCTTCCTTCCTAAGCAGGTTATTAGGAGGATCAATGGCCTCTGCAGCTCTTTTATCTGGCGTGGAAAGATAGATACTCCCTCCGGGGCGAAAGTGTCATGGTATGACATATGTTTTCCTAAGCTGGAAGGTGGACTTGGATTAAGGAATATGGGTAGTTGGAATGAGACTTGTGGCTTGAAACTTTTTTGGATGTTGTTTTTTAAAAGAAAATGTTTTATAAACGTTTTAAAGATAAATTCTATATCTAAGTTCAAGTATCATAGACCTTGTCTAAAAATAAAGAGTAGATATCATATAAGAATATAAAATTCCAAGATTTAAATACTTTTTGCTGCTTGAAAAACAGATATAGGAGCAATACACTCTTTTGTTAAATCAATGAACAGAATCTGGTCTCTTGTCTTTGCATATGAGATATAAACTTATAAAAATAGAGTTTCTCATCGCTCTACTAATTAATAGTGGAATATAACTAGATTAGAAAAGTCTATTAAAGTTTCACAGAGAGGGTTTGTCCGAATCTTCATCGAAATGTCCCACTCCACGTGAAATGTTTGGCAGGGGAGGCTAATGAATTCGGCATTAGATGTTATATTCCGTATTACGTACTATTGTGGAAAAAATCCCTCTGATTAGATTCATCCATTTAAAAAAATTCTGTAGATGATGCATATACATGTGGCAGCCTTAGACCACTAGTTTGATGTTTTCTGATGACTCTCAAACATTTAAATGATTAAATTTGGTTGAAAACAAAAAACAATTGGACAAAAAAGAGCCAAACATGTATAAATTACATTGGGTCAGAAAAGAGACGAATGATGTTACTTCTTAATATGGAAAAGATTAAGTCTTGAATTTATGTAATGTGAAAATTGGATTTATTGGATCTTCTCCAAATTTTATAGAGAATGTGATCATTTTTTGTTTTTTGACAAAGAAATATGATCGAATTTGTATACCGATTAGAAGTTGGGTTGCACGAGTTCTAAATACTCGAGGTAAAAAAAAAGGGTAATATTAGAAACTACTCAAACTAGCCAAATTATATACATAAACAAAGGAACTAACCATATGTCAGATTGTTTAGGTAAATGACTCTATTTTGGTGGGGTAAGGTTGAGGAAAAAACCAATTAACTTTATAAACTTATAGTTTTTACAATGATACATTTTTTTGTGGTGGTGGAGATTCCGGCGTAAGGTTCAATGAGAAAAGAAAAAGAGATCCGGCGGTGGAAGTGATACAGTGATCATGGTCACCGTGATATTATTACAGAGTAAGTGGTGGAAGAAAATATCCAGAAAAAAAGACATTTAGTGACAAACAAAGAGAGAGAGTGAGTGAGAGAAAAAGATAGGTACAATAATTGTGGTTACAAAGATGGCATTGATCAGATGCGAAAGACATAATAGAGATTGTGGATCTAGTGTTGGTGGTCGCCGTGAAGAAAGTGGTTACGGTGGCGGCGACTGTAGATACAGAGATACAGAGAAGGTTTATGTTATTTTTAAAAACAAAATGAATTATATTTTTTTTAAAGCAAATCATCAATAAAAAATACAATTTTGTTTCAAAAAATACAATATTTTATAAGAAAAAATATACATTTCAACCATACCAACAACATATATGGAATGAAAACTTGACATTAGAACAAAACCCATGAATTTTGAAAACAATACATGTCCACCATGAACAAGGTTCAATTACGAGGAAGCGAGAGTGGAGGAAGCCATAGCGGTGATTACTTAAGTAGCATTGGTGGTGGATAAAAAATGGATGTGGTAGATGCAAAAGACATAACCAAGATTACATATCTTGTAGAGTCGATGTGAGGAGGTCGTTACATGGGTGGTGGCTGGGAAACAAAGCTGGCGATAATAAGTAAAGTTTTAAACAATTATAAATATATAAACTAATAAAAAATACTAACCAAAAATATATATGAAAAAAACAAAATTTTTTAATATATTTGTTGGAACTACTATTTTTATAAGGGATTATAATAAAATCTACCAATAATACTCCAATCTCAAACCAAGTTGGTTAGTTGACTGAGGAAAAATAATGAGCCCAATCTTGAAAAACGCTTAAAAAAAATCCCACAAAATAGAGAGATGATAGTTACTATGAACCGACATAATCTCACACAAAAATAATTTTTTTTTTTTTAAGTGTTTTGCATTGTGATCTCTCCAAAAAAATTATTTTGTTTGTTTTCATTTATCTTTAGTTACTACCTAGGAATTTTCCTATAAAAGGTATTAAATATTACAATAGTTCATCAAATATACTAAAAGTGATAACAATTCATCAAATATACTAAAATTTTCAATGGTTCATCAAATATATTAAATAGTACAACGGTTCATCAAATAAATTAAGGGTTACAACGGTTCATAATATAAACAAAAAGTTGCAACAGTTCATTATATAAACTAAATGTTGAAATAGTTAAATTAAACGGTATTAGCAATTTATTTAAATATATATCTATAACCAAAATACGCAACCATAGATATTCAGTATACCAAAAGTTACAACGATT